TCTCAGCATAACTCTAAAAGACTCAGAGCAACAACGTTAATACTTTGATGTATACAGTATAATCGTTAGGACAACGTCACTTATAGTTCAGTCTAGTTCAAAAAGAAGTTTAGCGGGTACTGGGAGTCAGAATGGCTGTTTGTCTGTGCTTATTTAGCATTCGGTCTACAAAGATATCTTTAGTCTAACCTAACCTAACCTATTCTAACTGACCTGACTTAACCTAAATATCCTGTAGACCGCACGCTAGAGTAGCACCCCCCTGCTGTGTATAGTATATTTTTACTACCGAAACGAGGGAAAAAACACTTCGACGGGTTTATTATGACGATGTAAATAATTGAATTTACGAGTAACAGGCAGATCTGTTCTACTTGCTTGCCCACCATTACATGAATAATGATACTATACATCAAGAGCAAGAAACGACATATGTTGAGTGAATATTACACACAAAAGAAGCTTGAATACATACCAGAGAGTTTTGGGTCAACTTTGAAAACGAAAGTTCTCAAGACGAGATCAGAGGCAGCAACCAGCGTTGCCAACTCGGATTTTCAAATGTCGCTAGGCTGGTACCTAAAAGTAGCTAAATGTCCCTAAATCTTCCATGAAAAGTCGCTAGCTATTATTCCCCCCCTTCAGTAATTTGATGCAAATATTTTCATAATGCCGACTATAATGGACGGAGTATAAATAAAATGCATTATGTAAAAATAAAAATATTATTTTTTTTTAAGATTAATGTGCACACTTACCTATTATTCAATACAGTGGCGGCTCGTGAAAAATAAAATGGAGGGACTGCAAGCCTCACACAACATATGTTTGGCTGACTGCTCATGTTTCACTATTTTCTGTGGCAAATGCCTCAAGTCAGTCACACCACTTTTCGTCCATGCCGAGTCCCCACCAAACAATAAGCATGGAAAGCAGAATAAAGTATTTGCCTCGTCACAACCACAGAGCCATAAACACTCATGTTAAACTGGCGTGTATATTCTTTGTTCCTGCTTGTACTGTTCTGTTGAATGGATAAAACTGGTGTAGGTCTTCCTCTTGCTTTGATTTCAGTCTTTTCATTTAATGTCAGCTGGGAAAAGTTGATGTTTTGCAAATACTTCACTCGATTTTCCATCGTCAAAGGGTAATTAAAGAAAGCACGATTTAACCACACCGTCCACACGCAATGTAAACACGAGACTGAGCTGCTTCAAGTGCGGCGGCGGCGCCAATTAATAACAGACATGAATCGTACAGCATTGACAGCAACTATGAAAGTAACTTAAATTTTGGTCTGATTTTAATGAAAATTCACTTAGCAACGTATTGAAAATAATTAAATAACATATAAAATGATATATTTGTTGGTAGTGTATTATTCAGCTGTCTCTCTAAAGGAATCATACGCCTGGCAGTGAGTGTCTGGGGGGACTGCAGCTCTGCAGCCCTATGCACGAGCCGCCACTGATTCAATAGTAATTGCATCCCAGTCCTCTTCGTAGTCGTCGGCAGTGTGAACAACTGTAGAGCTGGAAGCATGTGAAGTGCTTGGTTCAGGTTCTCTTGTAACTGTATGCCTCCACAGTCCCTATCTTTCTTAAAATATCACTAGGGAGTTCATAACTTGCACAACAGGTGTTCTGTCTTTTTAACCCATACTTTATTGTAAGAATTGCCTTTAATGTCGATAGTTTCATTTTGTTGCGCAATTTTGATTTCTCAAAGTTCATATTACTAAATGTGCGCTCTACATCTGCGTTTGAATGTGGAAGAGATAAGGCAGCGAGTGCAATTTCAGCCAGATTATGGTAAGGGTTTTCACCTGTCGCATCTCTGTAATTTGCCACTTCTGACCACAATTTTAGGGTGTTAGATGCATGGACGGGCTGACATCAAGTGATCAGGAAATAGACGTGTCCCTCCTTCTGTACCACGACCCGTTCAAATGTATTAAACTTTTCATATTATTTATTGTCCCTGTAATCCCGTTGCTATATATTATGGCTCGAAATTAGGAAAACTGAGTTTTCAAGGACAGTCCAAAAGTATCCAGAAAGTCGCTAGATTTCTGTGGATATCTCTAGATTTGCGACAAGTCGCAAATCGCTCTAAAATGTCGCTAGAAAAAAACAAAAAGCTCTAGATCTAGCTACAAAGTCGCTAAGTTGGCAACTCTGGCAGCAACACAAGAAAGCTGCCACAGGATTGGTCGGTTGCCTGTTTTGGTGAGACAAGAGAACATGACTGGTGGAGCTGACAAGTACACACCACCAGTGTTGACGCAGTAAGTTGATAATCTGAATACTGTATTTACAAGGCAATTTATGCAGTCATATATGAATGTTAAAAAAAATTGCAAAGCAACAAAAACCGAACGCTGCCATTTACTGTCCTATTTTTAGTTTCATTTATACTCCAGAGAAAATCAGTAAGTCTTAGTAAAATTTTGGTCGGAGTTACCATCGCTGGCAGCGGATAAAAGAACACCCGAAACTTTGTAGTTTACCACACAAACAACAGTAAATTACCAGCGCAAGCGGAGGTGAACGAGTCCGAATGCGTCACCTCTAAAAATATTGCACGGGTGTGCTCTTCATTTGATTTTTAATCAATATGAAACAAGATTTTTGCCTAATTGTATAGAATGTAGATATAAATTATTATTTTCAATGTTAGATAATAATAATAAAAATAATAATAAATCGGTAAACTCGCCATACAAGAATACCATTATAGTCTAACCTTAAGCAAATCATCTTGACCTACTACTTACTATTGTATACATCACATTTGATTAAATACAGTATTTTGTATCATTTTATAAAAATTTTTTTTATTTATGTACCCAGCCAGCGTAGTCCCCCAAGTGGCAACGATCCTCTCTTTCCTCACAAAGTAAATAGACTTTGAAGGGATAAACTAAGTAAAGAATAATTTCTCGTCTGTCTGCCTGACTTATTTAGATTTAAAGTTGAAGGAGTATTATTAATAAAATATGTTTTTATTTTATTTTCTTACACATCCTCACAGGCATACACTCATACGTTTCACACCCCCCCCCCACACATCTTCAGTGCCTCACTTCCTCACAAAATCTCAATTTCATAAATTACCTCAAACTCTCACCGTCATACACCTCAATACCCTCACACACACTCAACCTCTCGCATAACTCCATACCTCCAAACAAACTCATACTCATGTGATCTCATATTCTCATAACGTTCATACCCTCACACAAACTCATAACTTCATGTGATCTCATATTATTACATAACCTGATACCTCCAAGGACATAATTCTCACGTGACCTCATGTTCTCATCACCTCATACCCTCACATGACCTCATATTTTCACATAACTTCACGCACTCATACGACCTCACATCACCACATCCTTACTCATACCTCAAAAAATTGTCTTCTTCAGAGCCTCTCACCCTAACAGCCTTTCATCCTCACACAACTAAAATCATGCCATCAAACCGTTACACACCGCCACAGCAGCCTCACACCAGCACCACACCCCCACACCATGTCCAAACAGATTTTTTATTTGTAAAAAGAGAAACTGCGTAAAAAAAGTTTATTCACTCAGTTTTTTTGGGCCGGTCAAGATTTGGGGCCCGCTATAACCCGTCACAACTAACGGTTGCTGGTTTGGTGCCCCAACTGTAAATGGGTTCTAAACTTTACACTTGGGAAGCAAAGGTGATTGCGTGCCGTGCCAGCAACATTGCCTCCTTAAGTACAGCAATGCTGTATTCACACTGTATAGATAGTAACAATCACTCATGTACTGTAATGTACGTACATTGCTGCATTTTTTGTATTTATATATTTTTTGTGTTACAAATGTATAAGTCTATACTGTTCATTTCTGTATCGTGTATGATACACTAATGGTGTATAAGTGTATGCTGTAAATTTGTACCATGTTACAACAATGGTGTGTAAGGGTACCGTGTACTGTTGTATCATGTATATGTTTCAGCAGTGTTGTTTAAAGGGCATATATACATACATATACACAGCACACCCTTAGATACTCGATATAACACAGATACGTTCCAAGAGAGGTCGCTTTAAACAGAATTTGCACAAAATCGAAGTGTTGTTTCAATGGAATAATTTAGTTTGGTACTTGAAACACAAAATACTAAAAAGACTGAGTCTACCCAGATGCACCTCAGTCCATCTCCTAGAATAAACAAAACATTATTTTTTGAAGTATTATGTTAAAACAAACACTTATAAATCAACACAGCTAAAATTATGGGACGTGAAATGGTCTGTTGACTAGCGATCAGCTGATGTGAGAGGGAGGTCGCGCTGGTGCCACTCACCATCCGCCTGACTCCCCCAGCACTCACTTTCCTCTCAACTTATTTTTTAATTACTTTATACTTTCAAAAATAGATTTTCACTCAACTTTATTTAGGGAATTCATCCTCTGAAGATGCAGAGCCCAACTCGACCAGCTCATCATCCACATCACTGTTTAGTGCTGTGTACACATCTGACACACGGGGAAACACCATTTCCAGCTGCAGTGCTTCCAGCACCCTGTTTTTCTGCTCCAGTGTATTTGCTTGCCTTGATTTCTTGGCCTTTGGGGTAGTTAATGATGTAGTAGCTAGCCTCTTGGACATAGTGGCGATGGTTGATGCACGTGGTAGGAGAGTGTCACACAATATGTCTGCTCACTTGAGCGTCAGTACAAGAACTGAGTATGGTGAGGGTGTGGGAGGGTGATGGGCAGCCGTAGCGTTTCCAGAGACGCATACAGTGGAAAACATTAGGCGCAAAATTTAAAATAGGATGTGTCAGATTAACTAGCGCAAAACAGGAAAGATTCGTTTTAAATTAAAACATCGCCCTTAATTGTAGGTGTCGCTTTAAATCAATATCTTAAATTGAATCGCTTTAAATCGACATAGTGTATGGGACTACTGTACGATGAGTACAGTATTAACTCATCAACTAAAACAAGTTCATAATTTATTCCGTATCCTTTATTCAGTAACACAAGTATGTTACAAGGTGAGACATATTAACACTTGTTTAAAGCATGGAAAGTTATAATTATTATTTACCAGATTGAGGACAACAAGGGATCAAAGGCAAGCCACAGTGTGTGGAAAGACTTGATGACGAACGGAAGACCCAACACCTATTTAGTTGAAGATCAAAGTACAGTAAATAGAACTAATGTTTGCTTTGGTTTGCTTGAAGATTTAAGAACCCACCACCTATTCTTGATGAAAATGGCAAAAGAAATATTTCCCATGAGTTAAACAAAGGCATATTGGCATTAAAGCAACGCACTACGGCGCAGATCACAGTAATGAGGGGCGTAACAAGTGAGAGAAATATGCCTTTGTTGAAGTCAGTCTGTATTAACCAAGTTAGAAGAGAACACTTGCATGTTGGCTTGCCTCTAGTATTTGGTTAGCGCAAGATTCAAGTTTTTATTATTTTGGGACAATTCAGGCGTGATGGTTAGACTAAATAATAGTTTAGATTGGCGCTCTTATGAGCTTTACACATCGAAATTATCACATTTTTGAAAATATATTTTTCAAATGATGCAATATCAGTAATATCTGTCCTTAGACTTGTGTGGAAGACATGACTTGGCAGAACACAGCCGAGACTTGTGCCAGACAATACTTGTGGCTCCACCCAAAAAAAAAAAAATGCAACCAAGCACTTAGCAAATGCTGACAGCAACTGACTCATGTGTAGCTGTGGCAACCACAAGTTGTCTCCGCTTTCAGGAAAAACGTCTCAGCGGCTACTCTTTCATGAGTCTATTATCTACGTGCACAAATATAACTTAATATATCTCAATAACCATTTATTCAGTCCTGCCAAGTAGATAGGGGGAGGTCAACCTTTGTGCGTTTCTAAAATCTTATAAAAACAAATCACTAACCACTATTTAATAACCGATTGCAGCATTAGCTGCCAATAACCATCTGTGACTCCCCATAGCCGCCATGGCAGGCCAACTTTATACATTGTAATGTAATGAGTGATTTTGTTGCTCATTCTAACAACAAGATGCTCCTCATAAGACAGAGGTGGTATCTTACTGTTTAGTGAATGAGTAAAAATCACTTTCCACTTTACATTTGACACTTGAAGAAGTTGGACATAACAGGGACTTGTCCATGAGCACCTAATTATTATTTTACAGTATTCTAGCACATTTTGTAGCTGATGCTTAAATACAAAATAACATGGAATCTTTGGAGTACTTATTCAGGTGAATAAATCAACTTGTAAGCTACAGTATCGGACTACATTATATGTCACTGTCGATAGGGACTGTGTGCCACTGCTATGTCGTCCCTGAAATGATGCCCAAAGTGCCTTGTAAACAAATATAGCAGAACGGGCACATTTTCAGACAGAACATTATGAAATGACTTTGTACAAAAATAAAATCAGACTACTTCACAAAAGTTCATTTATCTTTCCTTGAGCCAAACTGGTTGCATGATTTGGGAACTCCCTTTTGTGACACATCCCAGTGGTTTCTGCTGAACTTAGGACATTAAAATTGACGGAATGTGCCACACTAGAGATGTTCCCCGCTCCTTCAACAAATTCCTCATAAACCTCAAGGTTACACTTCTGGTCTAATTTTCACAGTGAAAAGTCACAATTTATTTCAGTGTCATTCACACGAAGGTCTTGGCCTTTCTTTATGGAAATTTATAATAGATTTCATTTTTATGTCTGTCACTTCAGAGAATCTTTTTCTAAGTGATTCGTTTACAAGACGAGAGTCAATCACAGTATTAAGGGCTAAGGAGCCCCGGGTGACTTCCCTCAGGAGAGGTAGTCTGGTGAAGGTTCAGCCAATGGCTCAGGTGTAGTGAACAGTGGGTTGGGGAACTCTGGTGGGTGAGGCAGAGGTCCTCCATGCTTAGGGCGTCGTCGATAAGCCATAAGCCAGCAGGAGACAGCCACTGCCACTGCCACAAGTGCTAGGAGCGCCGTGATGATAAGGGCGATGATGAAACCCCACTTGCTCACACACACTTCCTCAACAGCTCCCGCATTCTCTGGATCTGCATACAATAAAGTCAGTTAATTGGTTGGTCCATTACTGGAAGTTTGGAAATCATCATGCAAGTTTATTAACAGCAATACAGTACATCTATGTTGATCTGCATGTATCCCTTGTGGAAAGGAAAACAGGTAATACATTTCTATTAATATCTATCTACGATATTGTCTTTATGTCTCTTACAAAAGAAATAGCAGCTTTGTGGCTACAATAGGGAACCTTATACCTTGTAGTTAAATAAAGTGTAAATATCAGCTACTTACTCTCTAATGCAGTGTATCTCTCAGTGCGGGTCTCAACTGTGAGGATTGCCTGAGAGCTGACCTGGATCTCTCTTAGCTGGCCATCAAGTTCTAACTCTGCTTGGCGACGGCGACGTTTACCAAATGCATCATAACCATTACAATTGACTGGATGGCAGCGGCCAAAGCAGACCCGGACGTTACACTGGAATCGTATAGAATTAGATGATGGAAACTTGAATGCCTTAAAGAGAGCAACAAGTGCTTTACTATCCCCATCATCCTGTTCCCATTCGCCAAATATAGATGGGTCTGTCGCACAGCCGTTCTCATCTGTCACCAGGTGTTCGTTGTCACTGCCATCAATGTTGGCTGTCTTCGCAATGCAGCTGCGTGCAAAGCCACCGTAGATATCTGAAATTTGACAAAGAGTATAAGTTTCAGTGTACTTCAGAGCAATAAATTATATTAATGAAATCATAAGGAAAATGACAATTACAGTTTTATTTGTTATTGTATATTTTATATTATTGATAAGGTACTCACTTGAAGGTTCAACTTGTACTCTCAACATTAGGAGTTGGCCAATCTCAGCCTTATCAATAGGTCCTCCAGTAGGGTTGGTAATCTTCATGAGGCAAGTTGGGGGAGGGCCTGTGTTGGCAATGGTGCCAGCTGTTGTTAACATGGAAACGTTGAACCCAATTGTGATTGTTTTCTCGCCTGTGTTATAGGTACACTTAACATGGTATGCTTGAGCCTTGTAAGTCACCAGTTTGGGATGTTTCTGTAGCACCAGGATGAACCTTGCCAAACCCTGTGAGAAGCGGAAAGTGTCAACATTATCACCTATTATCATATCATCAATGTTAAATTTATCACCTAACAATATCTTATTTAAACTTTCTTTGTGTTTATCAATGATTATAAAGATATTAACTTGCTATAGGTTTTAAATAAATCTTGTTAGCTCTTATAACAGTTGTACCCATGAGGATGCTTTGTGTGTACAGTATTTCTAGTCATGCTTACATTTTCATGGATGAGGCCACAAGTGTTGAATTTGACTTTGAATTCAATGGGTCCAACATCAACATCTGGCCTGACCACCTTGCGACACTCTTCATTCTTGGAGTAACCCTTCACGTACATGACGCCATTGAAGCCTGGGTCACCCACATTGATGTCCACCTGCACACCATCAGCCAGACAGTTGACCAACATATCAGGGCGAGGGAAGTCTGTCCTGGCGAAGGTAGGCCCTAGTTGGGAAGATTTTGGCATGGTTAATGGTCTATGTTGGAATACTGTTATAACTGGTGATATTTTGTAAAAGAATGTTATGTTGTTTTCAACTTTCCATTATGTGCAGTATATGTAACACAGCCGAATATTTGAAGAATCCTTTCGCTAAACTAAGAAACAAATTAAGTAGGATTGTGATCACTTACTGCAGCCATTATCCTTCTGGTAAGGATCACCAGAGTAACCAGAGATACAGTTGCAAATGGCCTTGTGATTGGCATTGATACACAGAGCATACTTGGCACAAGGTGAGTCAGCACATGGAGGCACACAGAATGTTTGGTTACACATCTTATCCTGAGGGCAATCCTCGTTGGCGTAGCACCCAACTGGAATGGGCGGTATCTTTGTCACTGCCACTGTCAAGAAGAAAAGACATTTTAATACTGTTAATGGTACAGCACTAACACGTGTATTTCTCACTGCCATATCCTGGGTTCAATCCTCGATCCACGTTAGATGTGGAAAAGATGTTATCCAGTGTGACCTTACCAAACATAGCAGGTTATCCCTGGGTATTTAATTTTCTGCATGTACTAACACTAGGCAACAGAGGTCATAAAAATAAGAACAGATCAACTGCCCGAACGGTTGCTAATCCGTGAAGTGGTGAAATGATAAATGACAATGACATAACAAAGGACAGTAAAGCCATCTACTGTATATGTTGACAGCTGTTTGATAAATGACTTCTCTAGGATGACATTATCTAAGTGGACACCTTAAGGTATTACTAGGGAAAGTGTGAATGTCATAAATATACAGTACACAACTGGTGCTCTCATTATTCTCATCAACTTCAGAAAACAAAAGTACAGCCTGGCAGATATTTCCCTGGCACATACCAAACAAAATATCTTAAGGAAAAAAAATGGATGGTAGGACACTATTAGTGGCACATAGACTCACCGATGCAGTACCCATTGTCGTCCTTGACAGCTGGCAGGATACAGTCACAAGATCCATCACCAGTTGGGTGGTAGCCTTTCTCAGGATCACACATACATATTCCATTCTCTGTCAGTACATAGCCCAGCTCCGTAGGACAGTGTACGCAGTTACCATTCTCATCTACGTAGAAGTTACGGTCAGTGGGACACACACAGTCATCGTCAACCAGAACGAAGCCTTTCTCCAGAGGGCAGACCGGGGCTGTGGACACGAGAGCACAATGAGGGACTATGGCTAACCTTAACATGATCCCTGGATATATTTGGCTATTTTTTTATATGGACATATTTAAAAAAGTTAAGTATCAATTTTATTTTTATTACTTTTAGAGAATCGTGTTTTGTTTTAATATACTAAAATTAATACTTTGCCAGCGAATTATTATTAAGTCAGTATTCTCGTTTCTTTTATTCAGAGAGAAATAAAGTGCGTTCTAATTACCATATTAAATCTGCAAGTCTCACACAAGAACAATATTTAATAATGGTAAGATAATATACAAAATATACTACATAAACTCATATTATCATAAAAAAATTACTGGAAATCATTACAATAAAAGAAACTTACAAATATCAGCTTTTACTCTAAATATAAACAGTACCAGAAATTATTAAAAAAAAACAAAAACATTATAACTCAAATATGTACACAAGTCATTTATAAAAACACACACACACACACAATTTCTTAGCACTAAATATACACATGCAACATACATTCACATTACACTTCCAATTGTACTGAAATTAGAATATATCATTAATATAAATGGTTAGTACAATACAATACATTCAATAACAAATGGGTTAGCAAAGCTGCAAACACAAGCCATAACAATGATATAGCTGGCAGGATGGAGGGTGATTATAGAACAGTACAGTCAACACAATAGTCACTGGTTGAGACGCTGAGACTCCTGTTGTCTCGGTAGGGTAGTGAAAAATTCTTCGTCTGTTGTATCATGTTTTCAATACAGTTTTGCTTGTATATAGTTTTTTTAACGTCTGTATGTGTGACAAAGATTGTAAGTTAGATTTTCCTCACCTATATAGAGAAATGAGAATGGATCTAACTGGCTTAACCCTTTGAGGACTATGGTTTACCCCTTTAAGAACGATTATTTAACCCTTTTTTGAGAATGATGGTTTAACCCTTTGAGAAGTTGATTTAACCCTTTTGAGGACGATTGTTTAACCCATTTTGTGAACGATGATTTAACATTTGAGAACAATGGTTTAACCTTTTGAGGAGCGATAGTTTTACTTTAAAGGACTTAATAGTTTAAAACCACAAGGGCACAAAACTAACTACCAGGTGACAATAATTACACTCAAATTTTACAGTATGGGTTCTCTCCTCAAGGGGGGAGATTACTGAACAAACCTTAGATTATGCAGATTCATTCCTTCTTAGTTATCAGTATACAGCACCTAGCTAGTGTATGTACATGGAGATACGGATCATATTATAGTACAAATGGCAGTAAAGAAGGGTTGGGTAACAATTATGAGGTTTGCTATGTCATGTGTAACACTTCCCTTTACAGTAATGTACAAAGTTAAGTTAGCCAAATTACTGATTACTAAAAAACAATAAAAACAAACAAACAAACATTTAAATCAATAATTCTCTTTCTACGAAGGTATAGGTAAAAATTAGCGAGGTATATGTTCAAGGTATTTACCCAATCTAAATTAGTTTAAATCAGTCAAATACAAAAACAGTCATTTAGCATTATAATACTAATGTCAGTATTGTCATGATTAGGAACGTGTGTGACAATGTCTATTTTTGAAGAGGTGCAAACATGAATGTAACATTAACTGTCTACGACTTGTCATCAAATCATTGGGGGGGACCTGTTGGCTGGTGCTGGTGTAAGGCAACAGCTCCTGGTCACGGGATCTTCCAAGATTACAGGAAGATCTGCCAAAACTAAATAAACAATATCATTGCATGTGAAAAATATATATTACTTATGGCAGTTAGTCATTTTGTGGTCAAACGTTTCCTAACAGATGAAGGTCCATGCACAGTGCACAAGGTGGGGTAATGAGCATTATCTGAAGGGTGCAAGTGGTATTAGGTGAATGTCATAGTTAAAATGTTGATATAAACACAAGCAAATAAGAACTGTAATTGTTTGAGGCAAATTATGTGTGTGTTACAAAATAAATCCACATGAATAAATAACGTTTAAAGATGTTAGGTTTAAAATGGTAATTGCAAAGCAATTTACACATTATGTACAAATGCATGAATGTTAACAAAGAAACTGAGTACATATATAGATGAAGGACTAGCAGTTTTATCTCAATAACAGTACAGTAATGATCTGTAATACAATACTACAGTATACTGTGCTGTATAATGCTGGATGAAAAATGTGTCCATGGGAGAGTTTTGAAGAGACACTGTCCTGGATAATGACAACAAACAAAATAACACTATTCCTTCAGCTATAAGACATCAGGCTACATAATTTGGGGTTAATACTTATAAAAAGCAATAAGCAGAAAATATTAAGGTGAAACACTACAGGGATGCATGATATGAGAGATATAAGTTACAATTAAAGCAGGGGACACAGACTGGCTGGCGAATGGGTAGTAACAAAAAGAGAGAGCTCACTTGGGATGCACTTGTCAGCTGCATCACCCTGGTATCCTGGTAGACATTCACAGGCTATGGTCCTGACTGGTATTGTGTTTGCAACGCGGCACTCTGTATTTTCACCGCAGGGATCTAGTATGTGGCAAGGGTTGATGCACTTCTCGTTGATACAGGCAGTCTGGCTTGGGCACTCCAAATCAGATCGGCACCCCAGCACGACTGGATTGAAAAATAACCATTTACTACAAAACATTCTTTATAGAATTAATAAAAAGTATTTACAGTACAGGTATATGTAATCTTATTAAAAAAATAATGACAATTATACGTAATTAATGGATGAATACTCACTCATTTCACATCCCTTGTCCAAGGTTCTATTGAAGCCAGGTGGACAGTTGCACTCTGGTGTGTGGTCCTGGACGCGACAGTCAGCAGGCTCCTTACATGGATCAAAGGCACAGGGACTCTCACAATGTTGATTTATGCAACTGCGGTCACTAGGGCAGGCACTATTGGAGGCACAGCCGATAGCAATGCACTGAGTGCGTGGGTTACCCCGGGAGCCTGGTGGACAGTAGCAGACAGCTTCATGCTTAACTCCTTGGCAGATGGCCACTTCTCCACATGGTTCATTGTCGGGTCCACAAACTGGAGCACACTGCCCATTGCGACATGCATGAGTAGTTGGACAGTCATCATTACCATAACAACCAATTTCATAGCATCTGATTTCCGGATCTCCTTCATAGCCTCGTTTACAGGTACACACAGGATGGTGCTCAACTATCTCACAGTCAGCATTAGCGCCACACTGGCATGGGTCTCTACAGACGCCTCTGAAACAGGCTTTTTCCGAGGGACACTCTGGGTCAACTTTACATATTGGCTTAATCGGTGGCAACAATTCACATTCTCCTCCTTCCTCAGCTACTGTACCATCGGGGCATACACAAATCATTGTCCTCAGTGGGACAGTATCAACAACTTTACACTCTGCAGTCTCATGACATGGTTCTAAGACCTTGCACGGGTTGACACACTGTTTGTTGATGCAAGCATGTTGACTTGGGCAGTCAGCATCAACAATGCAAAGGGGCTGTATGATAGGGCTGCACCGCACCATGGGATCTCCTGTGGTGCCGGGTGGACAACGACACCGGGCTTCATGGTCAAGAATGATACATTCGGAGTCAGGGGCACAGGGATCATCGATACATGGGTCGACACACTGGGTGTTAATACATGCACGGTCACTTGGACATTCTGTGTTGGCTCTGCAGCCAATAATAATGCACTCTGTATAGCCATCACCCAAAAGACCAGAGGGACATCGGCAATAGGCTCGGTGTTGCTGAGGGTAACACTCCGCATTAACTGAGCAGGGATCATCAACGAGGCATGGGTTGGCACACACGCCGTCATAACAAGCTTGAGTGTCCCCACAATCACTGTCATGCTGGCAGCCGACTTCGCTGCAACCAATTTCGGGATTACCTTGGAAACCTTTCATACAGGTACACACAGCTCGGTGGTTGATGATCTCACATTCAGCGTTTCGGCCACAAGCACAAGGAATGCGGCACAAATGGTTAACACAAGCTTCTACTACGGGACAGTCAGAATCTGCACGGCATCCAGGTGGTATTTCAATATCAATTAGTTCACAGGTACCCTCCTCTGTCATAATAAAACCTTCAGGACATATACAGATCATGGTCCGTACAGGCACCGAGTCGACCACCTCACATTTGGCTGTTCTGTCACATGGGTCAAGTACGTGGCAGGGGTTGACACAGCGTTCATTAATACATGCATGCTTGCTAGGACAATCAGGATCCACACGACATTCAGGTTCAGCTGCTTCAACCTTCTTTCTCTCACAATTGAGCCTTGGGTCACCATAAGGCATTTCAGCTGGACATTGACAACCAATGACATGCTGGAAGACATAACACTTGGCGTTGGGGGCACACATGTTGTCCTCGTGTAAGCAAGGGTCCACGCAGTTCCGATTAATGCAAGCCTTGTCTGTCGGGCACTCAGAGTTACTTCTGCAACCAATAACTTGACAGCGAATATAGGGGTCTCCCTCGAGTCCAGTAGGGCAGCGGCACTTAGGGCGATGGGTTTCTGGGTAACACTCGGCGTTGATGTCACACGGGTTGTTCACGAAACAAGGGTTCACACACACACCTTTGGTGCACATTGTGTCCAGTGGGCAATCCTCATCTCTAGTGCAACCAGCTGTAACGAGTAAATACCATGCTATAAAAACTGCTGAAAGAAAGCCAAAGAACTTTCATAAATAAGTCTTAATAATTTATTGAGAAAAAACTTGATCATTCAAAGATGAGGCACACTGTACCTTCGTAGCATCCAAGGTTAGGGTTGCCTTGGTAACCTGGGATACAAGTGCAGATGGGACGGTGGTCGCGGACGTAACACTCTGTATTCTCACCACAGCTACAGGGTGTCACACAGCGGGTGTTGATGCAGGCCTCGTCGCCTGGACACTCATTATCCGCACGACAACCCACGCTTATTGGTTGCTCCACTGCGGGAGGTAATGGTTTATGGTTATTATTGTTCACACAGGTTAACATAACACGCAGATGTTAACATTAAGTTATAAGGGTTAAGTAAGTTCTGGCCAATGTTAAATTGTAGATGTTGTTCAAAAGGTTACTTGGTATGATGTTAGGGGATAAGACACTGGTGCTCAATTTATCTATAAAAAGAAAACCTTGGTTAAAGAGAAATAAAAATGATAACGATAAAATAGCTGTGAACAAAAACAAGAATGGGTTAAGCTTACAGTCCACGCACTCTCCCTGGCGGGAGGTGACCATGTGTGAGGGACAGGTGCAGGTCATGGTCTTGAGGGGCCGTGTAGCCACCAGTGTACACACTGTCGGGTCCTGGCAAGGCTCTAGTTCTTGGCAAGGTCTCTGGCAGGTGCCGTCCATACACCCATACTCATCCTCACAGTCATAGTCTGAACGGCAGGCACGTCGTAACTTTTCTTTGCATGCAATTGTTGGTTCGCCTTCAAAACCAGGTGGACATCGACACTCAACTCTGTGATCAATGCCACGACACTGGGCATTTGGTACACAAGTGTTGTTGTGAATACACTGGTCTAAACAGCGGCCATTAAGACACATGCGGTCAGGCGGACAGTCTCGGCTTGTTGAACACCCGACGACCTTGCACTCCCTGAGAGGATCACCGCTAGTGCCAGATGGACAGAAGCAGGTGGCTTTGTGGGCGAGGGGCTGGCACTCAGCTTGTGGGGCACATTGGTTGTCCAGTAAACAGGGGTTGACGCAATTACCATTGTAGCAGGCACGGTCATCAGGGCACTGTGAGTCACTAGTGCACCCGGCTATAGTAAAGAAAGTTATGTGTTACAGAATGATGACTTGTACACTCCTAGTGACTGCTGATATTATTGTAGATATTACGGTATGTCATAATATAAGCGTAATATAAGCAACAACTGCATTGGTTAATTCATCAGCAGCAAAACAAGATGTCAGTACAGAGGGAACTATAATATTGATTAAAAACTGTTACCCTTTCATCCTCAGTTAATACTATCAGTTACTACACTAGTTTTGTATTAGCCACTCCCTAAAATACACAAGTTACACATATGTAAGTAAAAGTTAAAATGTTAAAATGCTTACTCGGAGAACAAGCAATCTGTGGGTTGCCCTCGTAACCTGGAGCACATGTACAGATTGGTCTATGTTTGACAACAGTACAGAGCGCATTGACCCCACAGTCACAGGGGTCGCGACAAACACCCTCCACACACGCCAGGCCCAAGGCACAGTCCGTGTCACGCACACAACCTAATTTCTCTGGAACTGAACATTAGTGGTGTTAAGTCTGGTGAAGTCTATCTGTGGCCATGCCTCTAGCCATGGTCACACCTCTAGGCATGGCCACACCTCTAGCCAATGCGTAATTTTTGACCTGACTTTGATCTTAATCAAACGAGATATTATCTGAGTTAAGGGGATTGTTAATAGATTTGTTATATCAGTGATGACAAGAGGTATCAGCCTTGACACCCCAGAAACTCTGCTTGGGTTACTTAGTACTGCGTTATATTAATACAAGCAAGACATATAATCTGTTAATGATGACAATATTTCAAGAGCAACTGTATATAGATGTATGTAAGGAAATAAATCCAACAAGGTAATGGTGACAGTAAGGACAGTATTGGTCGTGATGCTTACTGGGTCTGCACTGTGTGTGGGCATCGCCGTGGTGGCCCGGCAGACACTCGCACACCATCGTCCTGAAGGGTGCTGACTCTACCACGTGGCACACAGCATTGACCCCGCACAGATCAGTGCCACAAAGCTCCTGGCACCGTCCACTAATGCATCCCAGACCCTCCCGACATTCCTTATCTCTGGTGCAGGATGGCTTAGTATCTGGCACACATTTGAATGTTGGGTCACCTTGGTAGCCTGGAGGGCACTGGCACTCTCCACGGTGGTCAGTGGGGGTGCAGGTGGCACTACTGGCACATGTGGTGTATATGCAGGGGTCAACACACTGGCCATCGCGACAGGTTCGGTCTCGTGGACAATCATTATCCTGCAGACATGTAAGAGTCTCACACTTGATGTGTGGGTCTCCCTCCAGGCCTGGGGGACAGCGACATCGCGTCTCACGGTCAACAGAGAAACACTCAGCGTTGATAGCACATGGGTTGTTGATGTGGCAGGGGTCGACACAGTACCCATTGTGGCACTTGTGTGTTGGTGGGCAGCTGTCATCAGAGCTACAGCCCTCTGGTAGGGGGTAAGTCATAGAGTTAACTCAGCAAGTGTGTTGAACCTTTCAAGTGTTATTATGTCACCAGATATTGTTTTGAAGAGATATTAATTTGTTACAATGAACTAATTGTTAAAATAATATGGTCAGCTTTTGGTAAGTTACAAAATCGAGGTTAATATATTAACATCAAGCACATTAGTGCACTAGTAAGTAGTAATTCCTGTATATTTTAAGAGTGGTTGTATAATGTGGTGATGTGTGTGTCTTACTGTAGAAACAGGAATTATAAGGGTCGCCGCCATAGCCCGGGGCACAGGAGCAGATGGCGTGATGGTTGACAACACGACACACGGTATTCTCGCCGCAGGAACACGGGTCCACGCATTGGCCATCTAGGCACGCCAGGCTGTCCGGGCACTCGTTGTCACTCAAGCACGGCGCCTCAGGCGGGGGAGTTACTATACAAATTTATTTGTTAGTATTCATTCTGGTTAACATACCTCACATTATAAATATATTCACTTTCTTCAATGAACCTGAAAAATGTAAGACAGTATTCTAAAAATTATTACTTTTAATTTTAGTAAAGGAAAATTAACTTGAATAGGGACAGGCAAAGAAGAATTCATGAGCATGTGATGACTACAGACATAACGATGGTTTGGAAGAAAAGGTTTGGGAAATTCCATACTTTTCCGGCACTGGACTTTAGCGTCGCCTGTAAAATCTGCTGGACAGGTACAGGTGACAGACTTGATGGGTCGTGTTTCTTGCACTGTACACTTGGCGTTGGGTGCACATGGCTTCTCCTGCTTACAGGGGTCTGTGCACACCCCACGCACACACACCAGCCCAACACCACAGTCATAGTCAGCCACACACGCATGTGACTGTGGCCGACATGCCACTCTTGGGTCGCCCTTGTATCCCTCAGGGCAGCTACAAGTAAGGTTGCGGTTGTGGATGTGACAGGTGGCTCCCACACCACACACATCATCTTTACATGGGTCCTGACACTGCTCATTAATGCAGGCATGACTAGGAGGACACTCGTCATTGTTACGGCAGCCCAGAGCCAGACACTGGAGGGTGGGGTCACCACGCTCTCCTGGATGACATGAACACTTTGCCTGGTGCTGCTCTACTGTGCACATTGCTGAAGGTGCACACACTGAATTCTCGGTGCATGGGTCCACACACTGCTGCTCCACACATGCCTTGTCACCTGGACAGTCAATATTGCTAACGCAGCCCACTGTAGGAAGAAAGACATTATGATAAAATTTGATACAATTCAAGCAATATATCTATTAATTCTCAAAAGGTGGCTAATATATTGATAAAATCTTTTATTTCAGGGAGGCAAGAAAGACTGACCTGTGTAGCAGGTGGTGTGTGGGTCACCGGTGTGACCAGGGGCACACGTGCAGAAGGGGCGATGTTGGGACACGTGACACTGGGCATTGAGGCCACAATTGCAAGGGTCTCGACAAATGCCCTCAACACAGGCCTCACTAAACAGGCAGTCTGTGTGACGGGTGCAGCCTCCTTGTGATGGTACTGGACAAATAAGAAGATGCATTAGCATGATAAGATATTCAACACTCAACATAAAAGATTCAATATAACAAGATAAAATGGCGACAAATATTTGAATAGTCTATATGAAATTTTTTTGACTTTTAATACTCTATTGGTTTGCCATTCCAAATAAATGGGACTTACTTTCACGACACTCGACCTTGGCATCGCCATGGTAGCCAGACGGACAGGCACAGCTCATTGACCGAAGGGGCTTGGAGTCGATAACTGAGCAGATGGAATTGGGTCCACATGGCTTATGCTCTTGGCACAGGTCACGACATGTTGAACCTGAGTCTGAATCATCAAGTCGTATGTACACGGCAGAGATTTGACTCTGGTAGCGAGTTACCAAAGATTTCAAAATGCAACCATGGGTGGGCGGGCAGTCTTGGTCAACTAAACAGCTACTTGGGTCCTTAGGCTCCTCACAGCTGAATCTTGGGTCGCCGTGGAGGCCTGGTGGACAGGCACACTCATACTTGTGGTTCGCCACCTGACATGTGGCAGCCTTGGCACAGGGATTGTAGTATATACAGGGATCCTTACACTCCCCATTGACACAGGCCTCAAAGCTCTTACAATCTTGGTCAGCCATACACTCAACCAACTGACATGACACTTGAGGGTTTCCAGACATTCCTGGTGGGCACTGGCACTGGGCCAGGTGGTTGGTACCCACACATATGGCACTGGAGGGACATGGGTTGTTCTTCCGGCAAGGGTCTATGCAGGTGTTATGCTGACACATCTCTGATGGCGGACACTCAGCATCTGATTCACAGTCAACTGGAAGGATGGGGAAAGGTTTAGATTATATTCACAGTAGTTTTGTGACGCTAAATATATCATCAAATGTAAATAACACGAAAAAAAAAACTATTTATGATCCAATTTTCATTAAGGGCCGACAGCAGATACAGTATATACTAAACTATTATCCTATAAGTGAGAAAACTTACTCTTGAAGCAACTAGTGTGTGGGTCACCAGCATAGCCAGGCTGGCAGTGACAGACAGGGCGGTGGTCAAGGACGGAACAAGTGGCGCTGAGGCCACAGCCACCAGGACAAGGACTGCGACATTCCCCTGACACACATGATAGCACTAGAGGACAATCCAGGTCACTACTGCAGTCCACCTTACCCTTTGGCTTGCCTGTAAGAAGAGGGAAAGTGGTTGAGTACAACATGGAACAATACATTAAGCCTCTGATATACCTCTTACATAACTTCATTTGGAATAAAAATGATGCAATGAACTTAATTTATTCTTCGTTTGTTTAATTATTGAATACATCCTCAGCTGCCTTACGGACCACATATATTTCAAACTACTAAACGATAAAGTTTTACTCACTGGGTGTGCAGGCATAGTGAGGGTCACCTTCGTAGTTCTCTGGACAGCTACAAGTCATGGCTTTCATGGGCTGGTTGTCCAAGACTTTGCATATGGCATTAGTACCACATGGATGTACTGCCTCGCACAAGTCCTGGCATTCTTCGTCAACACAACCTTGTAGACCAGGACAGTCTTGGTCTTTCTCACACTCTGCAGTGGGTGGCGGAGAACAGTAGCGGTCAGGGGTACCGATATAACCCACCAGGCAATGACACTTGGCCTGGTGATTTTCGACCCGGCACTGTGCATTAGTGACACACTGCAGCTGTTCACATGGGTCTTGACACTGTTGGTCTTGGCACGCTTGGTGGGCGGGACACTGCGAGTCCTCAGAGCACTCTGCTGGGCGGCATATGGAGTATGGATCACCCATGAAGCCTTCGGGACAAGAGCAGGACGGGCCTGTTTCTGTGGGCTGGCACTCGGCTCCAGCACCACAGAGGTCGCTAAACTTACACGGATTAACACAGCGCCCATTGACACATGCTTCCTCGACTGGACAGTCACTTCGTTGTGTGCACCCAACTGAAAAATAGAGATAAGAGGTATTCTTTTGTTAATTACATTCCAATTTAAAACATATTTGATTTTCATATCAAGTGTCTTTTGTTAAAGTAATAAATTAAAGATCTATGTTCAATGACACACACACACACACACATATATATATATATATATATATATATATATATATATATATATATATATATATATATATATATATATATATATATATATATATATATATATATATATATATATATATATATATATATAGACACCTTAAGTACATAATGGTGAATTAAGAGAACTCACCTGCAGTGCACAGTACTTGTGGGTCACCCTGGTAGCCGGCAGCACAGGAACATACACCACGGTGTCCCAAGGCACGACATGTGGCCCCGGGAGCACAAAGAGTGTCCCGGCAAGGATCAACACAACGACCATCTACACATGTCTGATCCCAAAGGCAGTCGTACTGGGAGCTACAGCCAGAGGGTGGGAGTGAGACACACAGGGTGAAGGGGTCCCCAGTCAGTCCAGGACCACACTGGCAAAACACGGTGGCCAGAGCGTAGTTCTTCTGTACGGTACAATTTGCTTGGTGGCCGCATGGCGACACCTTACACAGGTCTTGACAGGTACCGTCCACACAAGCTGTTTCTGGGCTGCAGTTTTCATCTGAGGAACAGCCAATTTTGGGGACACATGTTCCTCTTTCACGGGTGAAGCCGGAGGCACACGAGCAGTTTACTTGGTGGTCTTGAGCGTTGCAGACTTGGCTGGCGTCACATGGGTTGTCGACTGTACACCGGTCAACACAGATACCATTGACACAACCATGGGTGGTGGGGCAGGACGAGTCAGTCCTACACCCAATAGTGGTACAGGTTGCATATGGGTCTCCATGGTAGCCTACCTCACACCGACACTGAGTGGTGTGCTGAGATGCATGGCACTCTGCTTTAGCACCGCAGGGACGGGACAGGGTACAAGCGTCTACACATCTGTAATTGTGGCAAACACTACTGTCCTCACAGTCAGTATCAGTCCTACACTCCAGCTGAGAGCAAGCATTGTGTCCATCACCTGTGTATCCTGAGGGACAGTAACAGATGGGGCGATGGTTGACGGCCCTACACACAGCATTCTCAGCACATGGTTCTCCCTCACACGGGTCTCTACACTGCTTGTTTACACACGCATGGAATAATGGGCAGTCTGCTTCATACTGGCAACCCGATTCTTTTTCATCAATTACAAGGCACTCGTCATAGGCACTTCCAGTGTGTCCCGGAGGACACTCACACACTACTGTACGCAGATGATCTAAGTCTATAACGCGGCACTCGGCTTTCACTCCGCATGGTTTCATGTATGTGCACAGATCTTTACACTCTCCATCAACACAACCTAGTTCTTCAGCACAGTCAAAGTCTGAGCGGCACTGAGGCGTGGGTGGTGGGGAGCAGCCAGTGTAGGGATCACCCAAGAGTCCTGGGCGACACACGCAGGAGGTGGTGTGGTGCTGGGGAGTGCAAGACGACCCAGGACCACATGCTCTCTCCAGCAGGCAGGGGTCCACGCATGATCCCCTATAACACGCCTTATCTGATGGACACTCGTCACTGGAGGAGCAGCCAATGGCCAGGCAAGAGGTGGTTGGCTCGCCCGTGTAGCCCGGACTACAAGTGCACACAGCGCTGTGGTTTTCTGGAGTGCACTGGGCTGTGGGTGCACATGGCCGATCCGCATGGCAAGGATTACGGCAATTTCCATTGTAGCATTTTTCAGTGTAGGGACAGTCGGAGTCTGTCACACAGCCGACTGTGATAACGGGAAGGGGACAGGTTAAGAGGAAGGCTACACATACGTCGTATGTTATATACAAGTGAGCTAATCAGATGTTAGAACATAAATGACTACATGATGCAACACCATTCTCACACCATGTTATTTAAGTGACTTAATTCCACACCTCAGATATTAGAGGGACGGGTAAGACATTAAGAATTAAATATACATAAGCTATTAGGAGAGACAAACAAGAGATTATAACATCCATCAGTTATCAGAAAGATTAGCAAGATATTAACATTTTAATTATAACATCCAGGAGATCTTAGATAGATAAAGCAAGACATTATCACAGGTACACATGAGGGAGGGAGGCGGAGCTTACTTGTGGAGCAGGAGACGTGAGGGTCACCCGTGGTTGATGGCGGGCACGAACACACAGGTCTTTGCTGGTTTACCTGGCACTGGGCACTGGTTGGGCAAGAAGTGGGACAAGGAAGGGCACATTTGCCCCCCTGGCACCACTGGTTGGGGCCACAGTCCTGGTGGGTGCTACAAGCCTGGCCATCGCCCCCAACAGTCAGGTTAGGCGGTACACCCACTGGTCCTGGCACCGTCGCTAAGCACACACACATACACACACCACAGGTTAGTACAACACATACGAGGAAGACAGTCCTCACAAGACGATGCTAGTTGCTGACCAGTAGTGGACTAATTTAAATGTTAAGGCAATGGGTTAACTAGCTGCTCTAGTTGACTAGTATTGTTTAATTTGATTATTTATACATCAGTTAATAACACATGAAATTAGCAGAAAATTATTAATCAAAGACTAATGAAGGTGAATTATAAATATAAACCACATGATGTTAATGATGCCGAGTGTGTCAGAGTCGGGTGTGACACGTGACCACACCTGTCCCTCAGTCCTAGTTATTGTGTTAATGCACACACACACACAGGGATAACACACACACACACACACACACACAGGATAACACGCACACACACACACACACAGGATAACACACACACACACACACACACACACATAGCACACACACACACACACACACATACACAGGACACACACACACACACACACACACACACACACACACACACACACAGGGATAACACACACACACACACACACACATACACACACGCATAACACACAAACACACACACAGGATACACACACACACACACACACACACACACACACACACACACACACACACACACACACACACACACACACACACATAGGCATAACACACACACACACCACACATACACACACAGGCATAACACACAAACACACACACAGGCATAACACACAAACACACACACAGGCATAACACACAAACACACACATAGGGATAACACACACACACACACAGGGATACACACACACACACACACACACACACACACACACACACGCGCGCAGGCATAGCACACACACATACTTAAGGTCATAAAGCAGTCAAAGTCTAGTCATTGTAAAAAAATTTACAGAAAGCATTATGCTCTTAAGCTAAGATGATGATGATGATGATGATGATGATGATGATGATGACGACAAAACAATAACATATGGGTCTTATTATCTGTAAATAAGTGAATTGGTTGTGTGTAGGATAGGGTAAGTTTTTGGCCAGATGTTAGCTGGTTATAACAAATTAGAACATTAGTTGAGTAGCGCGTGATTCTCCCTGACAGCTGAGGATTGTGGTTAAGGAGGTAACTCTTATCTGTTAACCCTAGACTGTTGCTTGACGAAAGACATCAACCAACACCCTAATGAAGAGATAAGAAACGTCTCCACCACAACCCCCTCTCTCGCTGGAGACTCAACCCGCTACCATCAACCACCTGGACCACCAGTCATCAAGCAACTTGTTTACTCTGATCTTCACCTGCTTCTAATTTGCTAAATGGGGGGGTGACCTAGATGCTCAGGGGTACCTCGCGGTTCACCAACGACAAAAAATATTACTGAGGTGTTGAGTCTCAGATTACCAAGGGCTTCGTAAATTGTGTTTTCCTCTAAACTGGAGTTAGTAAACATCTAATTGTCTCCCTCAAGGCATGATGGGAAGATCTCAAAGGTTTGTTCTCCCTAACTGGAAATGAGAATGGATCTCAGTGGCTCACTTAAACTACAGCATGAAGGCTCCATCAAGGGCGTGTAAACTAACATTTAGAATCTGTCGGAACTATTCTCAATCTATTATCCAAATTTAGGAGAAAATGATCAAAGGTACAAAGCTCTGAGTGTCCCGACTTTGAGCACTGATGTCCCTGTAAAAGAGTGATGCTCAGGGTGAACAAGAGCGTGGTGCTGGAGGTCCCGGTGGTGAGGGTGCTGCAACACCCACAATACCTCAATTGTTCTTGGCTTACTGGTTCGCTAAATTATGTTTTAAGACGGACGTCCAAGTCCTTAAAGCCTGGAGAGTGAATGGTTTTATAGAAAGGCGGAAGAGTTGAGCCCCTCCTACGCCTCCAGAATGAATAATTTTGTACTTTTAGAATTGACATTTCAAGCATTGTACACTAAAATAAATAAAACAAATATAAAGTACCTGTAATGTAAAAGTAATAAAATAAACATTTAAACTAATAAGAATAATATAAAACTGGAGGTTGTAAAGGAAAATATAAGACAATGAGCCACCAGGAAGCCAAGAACCTGATAGAGACAAAACTCTGTTGGAATTTTTCAAAGACTCACAAGGACGGCATTCAACTTGTGGGTCACCGACATAGCCGTCAGGACACCTGCACACTGGGCTGTGATTGCGAGTGTAGCAGAAGGCGTTGCGGCTGCACGGGTCACCATTGAAGCACGGGTTGATGCACCTCTGGTTGTAACAAGACTCAGAATCGCTACAATCATCGTCTGTGGTGCAGTCTGGTGTGGGGGGTTCGACCACAGGTACTAAGGGAGATAGTGTTAGAGAGCCTTAGTGAGGTGGGGGAGAAGCTGAAACCAGATCATATATACGATACAGAACTTTATTGTAATAAGAGGTTCACTAGAAACATTTTTCTGTATGAGGAATAGTGGTGTACAGGTGTTATCTGTTCTACACGAGACACAGGGCTGTCTACTCATGACTCAACTACTTACCTCTCTTACAGTGAACTAAAGGATCTCCTTCATAGCCCTCGAAACAGCGGCACTGGTGCCTGTGGTTGCGACCTGAGCATAGAGCATTAAGGCCACAGCGCTCCCCACGACACACGTTGGTGCAGGTGCCCTGCCTACACGCCTCGTCCGTGTTGCAGTCAGAATCAACACGACACTCAGGTTCTACAGACACAAAGTATTTTAGATATTGAGAAGTTTGGATACTGGCAGACGAAACTGTTATGGCCCTGTTTTCTTTTTTAATACAGACGAACTCAGTTATAAATAAATAAATAAATAAATAAATAAATAAATATATATATATATATATATATATATATATATATATATATATATATATATATATATATATATATATATATATATATATATATATACAGTATATATATATATATATACACTGTATTATGTAGCATAACGTCCAGGGCTAAAACTTATCTTTATACTATCATTATTATAATACAAAATGTGAAGTACATTTAATGCAGTTTCTGGGGACACAACACTACAAGATTCATTAATCAAAACACAATAGAAAATATAAATACTGTACACGAATCTGAATTAATTTCTGAGGTTATGTGGATTATATACATTTCAGTTTGTGATGCCATCAGTATACTCAGATACAGCCAGACAGAGTTGTAACTATCACACATCAACTACTTGTACGAGGAGATAGTTGACTATAGATTAACACAACTTTATTACCTGACCTCGCAACAGTTGGGTCAAGAACATTAGGTACAAGAGCAGCTCACCTGGCTTGACACAGACGCCATCCTGAACGAAGATATGGTCAGGCGGACATTCACATAAGATGGTCCTTCGTGGCACATTGTCCACCACTCGGCATTCTTGGGTGGGGAGGCAAGGCGAGTTGACTGCACATGGGTTCTTGCAGTGGTCATTGATACATCCCTGCTGTGAAGGACAGTCGGAATCGCTGCGGCACTCAGGCTCGATAACTGGAGGCTCTTGTACTGGAGGAATATTTGCTATATAAGCTACTGATGGCTGTATGACAATAGTTAACAGCAGACAGCCAAGATCACCTTATATGTAAACTTTAGTATGATTGTTCATAATAATTTCATTAACCCCCCAGAGAATTACCGTATTGTATCATGAGTTTTATTTCCATTTGATTCAGGAAAGCAACTAGGAACCACAATGGAGGTACACTATACAAGTGGAGTGGAGGTTGACTCACGTTGGTAGCACTGTAAGTAGGGGTTGCCAGTGAAGGGAGGTGGACACACACACATGGCAGCATGGTTGGCAGCGTGACACTGAGCCTTCACTGCACAGGTGGTTTCTTCACACACAGGAACACACACGCGGTTGAGGTGGTCACAGGCCTTGTCGTCGGAGCAATCATCATTGGAGCGACAGCCGACGATGACACATGCAACAGTGGGGTCGCCTTGGGTACCTGGTGGGCAGAAACACTGTGCATGGTGCAGGATGGGACGGCACTGTGCTTGGAGGCCACAAGCTGGACCGCTGTAGGTGCAGGGATCCACACAGTTCTGGTTGATACACGCCTTGTTCGTGAGACACTCCTCGTCCTTCGTACACTCGGCTGCGAGAGGTGCAACATTATTACATGGCCTTACCTGCGGCAGGTGTTAGTTTAGCTAGCAGCAGTGGGTTAGACGTATATCCACAAGCGAGTTAGGCGTTCACAAGCGTGTTAGTGGCCTCCTGGTGCATTAGGTGGCCCCAATTAAATAAGGGCCACTCAGTGCCACTCAGGAGCTCTTGTCACATCCACACTCAACTCGATGGTCATCTCCGCCAAGTAAATGTCAATATCTGTAATGAGATGCCAACCATTCCAGACACACACACACACACATCCATCATGCAGCATCAACACACATTCGTTTCCTGTTAGTACTCACGCTTGAAGCACTGGATCTGTGGGTTCCCAGCCCAGCCATCGAGGCAGTAGCAGGTGGGTCTGTGTTGTTGAGTACGGCAGAAAGCATCGCGGCCACAAGGGTCCTCCTCGAGGCAGGGGTCTACACACACCTCCTTGACGCACGCTTTGTCAGTTTCGCAGTCAGGGTCAACACGGCATTCTGGTTCCTCCTTCGGCTCTGTTCCAGGAAATACAAAACTCATCATCACTGAATCTCACAAATAATTCATCTTGGTTTATGGTGAGGGACATTTTAACTGCCAATAATGTATCTAGTTTCTTATGTACAAGCCAGTTTGTTAGGTTGATGTCATCATGCTCCTTCATGCAACACAAACACTCACTAATGCCTTGGTACTTACCTCTTGTACTCCTGAGGACTTTGGTGGTTTATATTGAGTACATTCTAAAGGTTCTGGGATACACTTGAAAGTTAATATCCAAAATTTCTCATTGATATACTTCAAAATCTTGAAAAATTTGAATCTGCCTTAAACTTTCGATCTTACATAAAAAAAATATCTTTGTACACCCAAAACATGAAGTTATCGCAAGTATTATGAAGATTGTAACAAAACGAAACAAAATAGAAAGTTCAATAAGTTTTCGTTCAAAAAAGAGTGAATGAGTGGAGTCTTACATTAAGGGCACCAAAGTTTGCAGGAACAAAGTGCTCAGGCATCATTCTGTTACGTTTGGCTCAAGAGGGGAGGTACCTGTTTAAACATGCTTTGAGATGTTGTGAAAACGCTGTGTGTGTGTGTGTGTGTGTGTGTGTGTGTGTGTGTGTGTGTGTGTGTGTGTGTGTGTGTGTGTGTGTGTGTGTGTGCAAATAAGGATAAACTCTTGCAGGAAGAACCATCCACCACCAGGTTAATATAAATAAAACTGATGCTCCACAATGATCCAAATTATAGATGTAAACAAGGATTATAACACTGAGGGATAATGGACGATCCTAACTCTCTCTGTAACATGGATTAAATTGTAATAGCAAGAAAATTATTAACACGTTTCCTTTGTCAACAAGATGGTGACCCCTGAGAGAGAAGGCGACCGTATTGTAGCTGTGTAAACAACTGGGAACACCGTCAGTAGGTCCCTGAGACGTACCTGGTACACAGCCTACCCAGGGGTCGCCCGTGGTGTTGTCAGGGCACAGACAGTAGGGTTGGTGCTTGTAGGGCTTACACACGGCCGAATCCGGGCAGGGGTTGGCCACGAAGCAGGGATTTTGACAACGGGAATCCAAACACGAGTCGATTTTAAAACAGTCGATGTCTATCTCACACTTGCGAGGTGGTCGAGGGGCAGCTATGAGGGCGGGGTTGTGGGTTAGTAACAGTGAGAGGAGGTCAAGTGTGAGGGTTAGTGAGGTTGGGGACAACTGATAACTAAGGTGTAACTTTGAGCAGCAGTCACATGTCCATCAATACATTACAGGATTTTCTAAAAATTCTTGAAATTAATTCTCGATGTTTAATCAATGTTTCTGGTGTATACACGGACGATGTGGGTGCTGCTCAAGATCACCAAACATCGTCAACATTATCTAATTACAATACTAGAACACAAGAAGCATTCCCGACACTCTGCTGGTAAGGCCCTCGTGACGGCACAAGAGACGAGATCATTTGTTTACGACACATAATAATTTTTTTTAAGGGTTTTTTGATAACAGTTAATGAAAGGATTAAGTGAATTTAATGATCTGTTTTCAAAATCATGTGACTGTTGAGCCCTTTACAGGAGCCGAGTGAGTGAGTGAGCAGAATGACACCCTCAATCTGTGGCCAGTTACCACCACACACTGAAGGATCATGGTCCTTGCCATAACAATTTAGCGTCAGTGCCTGCCGTTGTCACCACTCTACCAATGACAAACTCATTACAGAAACATCACATGAGAGTTAACTCGTCTTTTTACGTATCGGTCGATTTTAAGGCGAAGCTAAAGTTCATGTGATGTGAAGCGACTCTTAGAAACTTGCCGCAACAAACAACTGTGATTAGCACGGACGAGAGAACACTGACAGCGAAACAGCAGAGTGTAAGAGCAGCTTACAGGTATGTGCTCGTTGCAGCTACGTCTACAAAAGCTGGTGATATGTTAAACAGCCAACATTACGTGAAAAGCTTCAAACATTACAGGTAAGCAAACATTAAGCCATGATGTTACAGCCAATCTCATACTTACATCACAAATACAGTTAGTCATTCAATAAGCTATGTTGTTAGGGGCGCTTACAACTGTCTTAGTATTTAGTGAGGGCATGATGGGCGGTGCTTTAACGTCATGCAGTGTGCGACACACTGTGGCCTCACTGCAACACACCTCAGCATGAACAAAGGAGTCAGCCTGGCAGCCAACACAAGGTATCTACTCACCAGCACGAGACGCCCCGGAGACTTTACACTAACAACACCAACCATTACACTTGTTAATTTATAATATACTGTACACTGGATTTGGGTTCACAGCAAATGTAAGTATAGCTAAACTGTCAACTGCTGAGACCTGAAGTGATGGGAACCTTTCTAGGGAGTGTGGGGAGGCGGAAGGATCCCCTGCTTATAAGTGAGGGAGATTATGGGAAAGATCTACCTAGGTTATGAGGGACACCTGTGTAAACTCAGCAGACAACTCACTCAGGTAACAGTTGACGTAAGGGTTGCCGGTATACCCTGGTGGACAGGAACAGTCTGTGCTCCGGTTGATGACCTAAAGAGAGAGAAAGACCTTGTTAAACACACCATTCTCAGACAACAAACGACTTTCATGGGACGCCAGCTACTTCACCACCAAGTCTCTTTACTCTTCACAACAAGTTACCTACCTATACATCTACAGCCTCTAACAGAAACAAGAGAAAAGAAGAAGAAGAAGCAAAATTAACGAAGAAATCTTACAAAACGGAGAAAGTTAAGACCTTATATCTTGATTAATATTCACGAGGAGGCCTGACAGTGACAAGGCAAGACAATGAAAAGCCACACTATTAAAATAAAGACCAAGTCCTCCCTAAATACGAGTCACTGGGTCACATTACCTGACACTCGGCGCTAGGGGCACAGGGGTTGACAACTACACACGGGTCGAGGCATAGACGATTCCGACACACTTCTGAAGGACCACACTCGTCATTCGTCGTGCACCCTGGAGCTTCCGTCGGTTCTGGGGCCACGAGAAGAAATAAATATAACTGGCCCACACTACCCCGTCCTAGTATCAAACCCTTACTGAATACTAGCAGGTAAAATAAAAGTTCTAGTTATGTCTACATTATGAGTAAGAAGACCTTGTGATGTCAATATTTTTTTTTAAGTTATAATCTTCGACGGAAAAACACAATTATAATATGGATTATTTAATTTGATTTAAGAAAAGATTCAACAAATTTAATAACACAGTGAGAACAAAATAACAATAACAAAAAAAGAAAATAACAATAGGTACAATGAGAGTTCGGTTCTGCTGGTTAATTGGCCAATATGACTCAAGAATATGTCAAAATGTTAACAAATGTAAGGTAAGTAAGATGCTGATTATACTGAAGTGACGAATCTTCTCCAAGTTAATTCTGTAATGATAACACTGAAAGGATTAGTTCACATGATGATCAGTGTAGCAGCCTGTATAAAGGTATCATACTGCTCGTGTTTTAATTCATTACCTGAACAAATTTATTCAAGACAACTGTTCATGACCAAGTATATGATGCAACGTGACATTCAATTTGCAATGTAATGAATGAGTAAATGTGTTCAGGTAACTTGTCTATCCTCCCCCCATCAGTCACGTCCACCCCCCTACACTACGGTACTACTTTACACATCACACTGAAGGACCAGTAAACAAGCATCAATATAGTAAACATTTTAACATTAATTCGCTCCAGCATTTAGTCATAGCTCTTACTTTTTACTTCCAAATACTATACAACTTTTCCCCTCATATATGTCCCGTCTTTCTGAATTAAAATGTCTTTCTAATGAGGATAGAACAATTAATGTAACGCCTCAGGTAATCTTAATGGTAATTAGCTTCAAGGATACCTCCACCACCTGTGACCTACTTGGTGTACACTCGACGTAGGCGTTGCCGATGTAGCCCGGCACACATTCACACGTCATGGTTCTGTAGGGCAGAGTGTCGATCACGCCACACTTGGCATTGTGTCCACAGGGGTCAATCACCTGACAAGGGTCGTCACAGCGGCCACTGAAGCACGCTAGTTTACTGGGGCATTCACCGTCCGTCTGGCACTCTTTGAACGTCGCCGGGCGCTCTGGCTCTGTGTCAGGAGAGAAGGAATTAGCTGTGGAGGGAGCTGGGAGTGAGAGAGTTAGCTGTGGAGGGATCTGGGAGTGAGAGAGTTAGCTGTGGAGGGAGCTGGGAGTGAGAGAGTTAGCTGTGGAGGGAGTTGGGAGGACAGAGAGAGTTAGCTGTGGAGGGAGTTGGGAGGAGAGAGTTAGCTGTGGAGGAGCTGGGAGTGAGAGTTAGCTGTGGAGGGAGCTGGGAGTGAGAGAGTTAGCTGGAGGGATCTGGGGAGAGAGTTAGCTGTGGAGGGAGTTGGGAGTGAGAGAGTTAGCTGTGGAGGGAGTTGGGAGTGAGAGTTAGCTGTGGAGGAAGCTGGGAGTGAGAGAGTTAGCTGTGGAGGAAGCTGGGAACGAAGGGTAACTAGGGTAAGGTAATTAATATAACACAAGGAACACTGTAATTAGGTGATTAAGGTAAAGTATTTAAATGAATTAAACTGACTGAAGAGGAGGAGGAGGACAAGTGAGGGGTATTAGTACTGACTGAGGAGGAGGAGGAGGACAAGTGAGGGGTATTAGTACTCACTGAGGAGGAGGAGGACAAGTGAGGGGTATTAGTACTAACTGAGGAGGAGGAGGAGGACAAGTGAGGGGTATTAGTACTGACTGAGGAGGAGGAGGAGGACAAGTGAGGGGTATTAGTACTCACTGAGGACACACTGAACGTTGGCGTCGCCCTCATAGCCAGGGGGACAAATACACGAGGGCCTGTGGTTGTGGACGCGGCAGTCAGCTCCTGCACCACAGTTACAAGGGTCGCGACACTCCTGACTGATGCACGCCTGCCACGACGGGCACTCTGGGTCGGCCATACAATCTGGCCTCGTACACTGCACGTATGGGTCGCCCTGAAGGTGAAGACAACGAGTGAGAAGATGATTTACTGGACAACCCGAGGGAAGAGTGGACATTGAATGAACAAATAAGTGAAAGACTATATGGGGACAGTACCGGAGGAGAGTACACTTACCAAGAACCTCTCGGGGCAGTAGCACTGTGCTCTTTGGTTGAGGACCCGACACTCGGCGTTGAGGCCACACTTCTCGTACTCACAGGGGTCCTCACAGTCTCTGTTGATGCAGGCGTGTAGGACGGGGCAGTCAGAGTTGGACCTACATCCAGCTGTGAACACACCAATCACATCTCTATGTTAGTTACCATCCTTCTGTGTGTGTCTAGGTGTGTGTGTGTGTGTGTGTGTGTGTGTGTGTGTGTGTGTGTGTAGTGTGTGTGTGTGTGTGTGTGTGCGTGTGGTGTGTGTGTGTGTGTAGTGTGTGTGTGTGTGTGTTTGCGTGTGGTGTGTGTGAGTGTGTATGTGTGTTCCTAAGGCTACACAAATATGGTGTCCGTGAGTCCAGAGAAAATGGAGCGTCGAGGGGAAACTCCTGAATGAGAGATACGAGGCTTCAAGTCTGGGAGAAGAGGAGTTGATACCTGATTGACGTAGCCTCACACATGGACACAGTGGAACACCTCCTAACTTCACAACTCACATGTTAAGACGTTCACACAGAGGTTCAAGTCTTAGTCAAAGGGTGTGTCAATCTTTTTCAGTGGTAACTTCCGACCACTGTTTTCACTGTAAACTGTTGGTGGGAGTAACAGGAGTAGTGAGTTTGAAGAAGTCTTTAGTATTTACACTTAACTGGTTGTTATGATTATGTACAGTCAGTCGAGGTTAAGTGCTAAGGCCTTCCCGTCTGTTAGTTGTCACCGTTACCCAGCCAGAGGAAACGATATTCACAGTCAAGTTGGTATATACAGTCATTAATTATTGGAGGCCACAGTGACGTCACGTTGCACACACACATGAGTCTAACTAACAGTAGAAGAGTAGTCAAAAAGGTGTGATTTGTTCGCGTGGCCAAGAATGACAACCACTGTGGCAGGTGTGTAATGGTGTAACACATACGTAGTGGCTTTAAAGACGCCTACAATTAAACCTATTTCCTTTAGTGAACCATGTGTTAAGTTGGCTGTTTATACCTGACGTGAAGCTGGCTATGTGAATACGAGATGTGATCTGCTTAACTAAGTGTGCACCGTCTGAAATAGGATAGCATTTAAACGTGTGTGTGTGTAATGGAGAGGGCGTCCACCTTACCAACAAAACACTGGATGTTGGGGTTGCCAGAGTAACCGTCAGGGCACGAGCACACGGCCCTATGACGAATGACGTGGCACTCGGCATTAGGAGCACAGTTGTTATATAAGTCACAAGGGTTCTGGCACTGCTGGTTGATGCAGGACAGAGTGTCACTGCACTCGTCATCCGTTAGGCACCCAGGCTGCGGCGTTGGCACCTCAACTGGAGCAGGGTAAAGATATATATTAGACAGGGGGTAATGGAGTAGCCCTACCAACACTGTGGCATCTTGGACATATTGGTGCACCTCAACACCCGGGTCATGTCACCATAAATACCGACACTAGGACCATCAATATTTGTGTTATCAGACCAGGTCCCGGATAACTCAGTGTTGGTGTGCTCACCTGCGCCTTAAATTAAAACTGGGCTTTTAAATAAATCATTAGGCCGGATGTGTACTGCATATCTAATGGAATACACGGCTATCTATGTAAAGTGATAAAATTTTTATCTATGTATATATATATATACACATGGAGAAATAGATTGAGAAAATAGTGAAGCTTAGATATAGTTTACCGATGCTGAACAACACAAGATTCATTGATGCAAACAGTTTAAAGATGCAGTTTATAGGTGGTGGACGATGCAGGTCGTACGATGCAGGCTTCGTGATGCAAAACTGAACAATGCAGGCTCCTTGATGCACAAATGAACAATGCAAACTTTAAAAAATGCATAAGCTTGTACTAAACGAAAATATTGACAGGCACAAGAGTAAACATGCATCGTGCTCTGGCATGCGTGAACAACAAGAAATCAAGAGTTGGAGACAAGCCACTAAACATCTTACTGGTGGTGCACTGGAGATAGGGGTCACCGGTCATGCCTCGGGGACAAGAACAGACGGCGCGGTGCCTGACAGCATCGCACAGAGCCGTCGGAGAACACGGGTTGGCCACCAGACAAGGGTTCTGGCAATTGCCGTTGTAGCAAGCCTGGTCGGCATGACAATCTTCATTTCGAATGCACTGTGGCTTGAGCACGGGCGGTGCAGGGGTCGGGGCGGGGGTGGTGGGCGGATAGCACCTTACGTAAGGGTTACCAGTGTATCCAGGACTGCACAAACACGTCGGCGTGTGCACCGTAACGATGCACTCAGCGTTGAAGCCACACACGTCTCTGTGTATGCAAGGATCAAGGCATTGTTGGTTGATGCAAGCCAGGTGATAAGGGCAGTCACTGTCTACTATGCAATCCGGCTTTGGTGTGGTAAGTACCTGGATGGGTGGCGGAGTAGGTGGTTCTGGTCGTCGGCAGGAAGTGAAAGGATTACCGATATACCCTGGTGGGCAGTTACAGTGGGGCCGGTGGTTCTCGGCAGTGCATACAGCCATAGGAGCGCAGGGGTTGCTGGTGAGGCACACGTCTCTGCACACATTACTGGTGCACACCTGGGTGGTGAAGCAATCTTGATCCACCACACACTGTGGACGTTCAATCATGGGCACTGTAGGGGAACAGATGGCATGATGCATCTGGGCAATGCACTCACTGTTGGGATCACACAGCTGGACGCCGCACACCTTCCCACAAATACGATTGTAACACTGCTCGTCGAAAGCACACTCACCACTGGTGCTGCAGCCGATGGGCATAGGTGGGTCTGTGGCTGGCGGGGGTGGTCTAGTGAGTGGCGTCGGCTTCTCCCGAGGCGGCTGTGTTTGCACCATGGGGGGCGGGGTGGGTGAGGTGGGCCCTGACAGAGGCATGATGGGTTCCTTGGGGTGCGGAGATGTTTCCACAATGGGCGGGGCTTTGGTGGTCGGCAGCTTCGCCTCAAGTGCTTGGCAATAGTGCTGGGGGTTGCCTGTAGTGCCACTAGGACAAACACACACTGGCCGGTGATCCAGGGTCTTACAGTCGGCATTTTCTCCACAAATTCCCAGAGCACAAACAGGGTAACACAGTAGGTTGATACAGGAGTTGTCTAGGTCACAATCATCATTATTCTCACATGCGATGAGTATAGGTGGAACTATGGGTTGAGGTGGAGGGGCGGAGAACGGTGGCTCAGTCGGGCGGGCGGTGGGGAGTTGGATGATGGGTGGCAGCTGAGTGGAGGTTGGAGCAGACACAGGCCGAATTGGGTGGTCGGGTGGGGGGCTATGATCCCCGCTCAATGGTGGTGCAGGTGTGGATGGTTCTAACACTGCCAATGCAGAACACTTCAGGGTGGGATTACCCGTGGTCCCTGGTGGACAAGTGCACTCAACCCTATGTACCCTCGTCTGACAATCTGCATTTTCGCCACACAGACCTGGATGACACACGTCGAGACAAAGCTTATTCACGCATGAGTTGTCATATGGGCACTCAGCTGTACTCGCACACCCAATTGGCATAGGAGGAGCTGTGGGTGGAGGTGGTGGCCGAATAACAGGAGGTAGAATTGGCCTGGGAGTGCCTGGTTCACCCAGTGGTGTTTGTGAGGTGGAGGGTGGCACACCCACTGCAATGACGGGATCATATGTGGATGAAGGTGGAGTGCCTGTGATAGGTGTGGACTGCGTAGTTGTGTGCATCGTCAGAGCTTGGCAGCCCTCGGTAGGGGTGCCTGTGGTGCCTGGGGGACAGCTACAAACTGGCCGGTGGTTGAAAATCTGGCAATCGGAATTTTCACCACAAATGCCCAGACCACAAACGTCATAACAGATGTGATTTACACAAGAATTGTCTGTGGGACACTCATCTTTGTTCTGGCACGCTATAATTATCGGCGGTTGGATGGGAGGTATTGGAGGCCTGGGAAGGGGATGCTGAGTAGGCCTTGTGGTGGGCGTAATAACTATTGGATCAGGTGAGGGTGATGTTGGTCCTCCGACAGGTACTATAGGTTGTGCAGGTGGTGGGGAGATGGTCACACCAAGAGGGGGCTCTGGTGTGACGGGTCTCTCGGTAGTCAACGAAGTACACGCTACAGTGGGGTTACCAGTAGTACCACTGGGACACACACATTCAGGTCGGTGCCCTGTTGTTTGGCAATCGGCGTTGTGACCACACAATCCAGGATAACAAACATTTAGGCAAAGTTTGTTAACACAAGTATTATCAAAAGGACATTCATCGTTGCTAGAGCACCCAACGGGTATAGGGGGCGGAGTGGGCACTGGAGGCACGAAAGGAATGGGGCCATCAGGAGGTCTAGGTGGGCTTAAAGACACAACTGGTGGAACAGGGGGTTCCGTGGGACCAGAAATCGGACGGACAGGCTTCTGTGGGTGCAGTGGTGTTACATCCGTCATTGGCCTAACAGTCTCAGGTCGGACAGTAACAAGAGAAATACACCGTACTTGAGGATCTCCTGTTGTCCCTGGTGGGCACAGACACACTGGCCTGTGACTGATAGTTGTACAATCAGCTTCATCACCACAAACCCCAAGACTGCATGCATCATAACACAGCTTGTTCAAACATGAATTGTCCACATCACACCCATCATTGTTCTCACAAGCGATAGGAACTAGAGGAACAATCACGGGTGGAGGAGGTCGCTCTATTGGTGGGTCTGGAGGAGGACGTGTTGGTTGCTCCACCAGAGGAGGAGGTCCTGGACTTGTAGGACCAGCGATGGGATGGAAGACAGTCTCCTCTGAGGGAGGCTTATCCCCAGCAACCGGAGGAATGGGTGCAGGTATGTCTACAGCAAGAGCTGAGCACTTGATATTAGGGTTCCCAGTTGTTCCTGGTGGACATTTACAAGTAGCTCGATGTCCAATTGTCTGACAGTCGGCATTTTCACCACAAAATCCTGGATAACAAATATCAAGACAAAGTTTATTTACACAGGAGTTATCAAACGGACACTCGTCAGTGCTCTCACAGCCCACAGGCACAGGACCAGGGGTGGGTGATGGTGGCGGCTCTGTTACAGGAGGTGGTCTGGGTCTGGGTGTTGGGTGTTCTGCCACTGGGGGCTGACCTGGACTAGTTGGTGCACTAATTGGATGCACTGGATCTCCTGGTTGAGCTGGCGGAAATTCTGCCGTGGGAGGCGTCGGTCCAACTGGTCTTTCTGTGACGATGGATACACATGAATGTAAAGGATCTCCTGTGGTTCCTGGAGGACAGGTACAAACTGGACGATGATTCGCGATTCGGCAGTCAGCATCATCTCCACATATACCAAGACCGCATACATCATAACATAGGTTGTTGAGACAGGAATTGTCCGAGGTGCAGTCGTCATTGTTCTCACAAGCAATAACAATAGGAGGAACAACAGCAAGAGGTGGTGGTCTTGGACTGGTGGGCACTGGAGGTGCCGTTGTTGGCAATTCTACCAGAGGTGGTGGGGTAGGAGTGGTAGTTCCTGATGCAGGAACAACTGGATCACCCGGTGGTAAACTTGAGATACCCGCTACAGGCCTGTGGGTAATAGGTCTCTCGGTAGCTAAAGCCGTGCACCTCTCTGTTGGGTTACCTGTCGTGCCTGGTGGACATACACAAGTGGGTCGGTGTCCTAAGGTCTTACAGTCAGCAGCCTCACCACAAATACCAGGATGACACACGTCCAGGCACAGTCTGTTGATGCAGCTGTTGTCGAAGGGACACTCACCAGTGCTCTCACAACCTATGGGGTTTGGTGGTGGTGTTGGTACTGCAGGAGGCAGTGCAATTGGAGCTTCTGTAGGTCGAGGAACTGGAAGTTGAGCTACTGGTGATGGCGGTGTTGAAGTAGGTCCAGGAACTGGCCGGATAGGTGTGTGACTATCAGGTGGATGTTCAGCTATGGGAGGTACTGTAACAACGAGAGGTCTTTCTGTTGCTATGGCTATGCACCCTACTTGAGGATCTCCTGTTGTCCCTGGTGGGCACAGACACACTGGCCTGTGACTGATAGTCGTACAATCAGCTTCATCACCACAAACCCCAAGACTGCATGCATCATAACACAGCTTGTTCAAACATGAATTGTCCACATCACATTCATCGTTGTTCTCACAAGCGATAGGTACTAGAGGAACAATCACGGGTGGAGGAGGTCGCTCTATTGGTGGGTCTGGAGGAGGACGTGTTGGTTGCTCCACCAGAGGAGGAGATCCTGGACTTGTAGGTCCAGCGATGGGATGGATGACAGTCTCTTCTGAAGGAGGCTTATCCCCAGCAACCGGAGGAATTGGTGCAGGAGGTGTCTCTACAGCAAGAGCTGAGCACTTGATATTAGGGTTGCCAGTTGTTCCTGGTGGACATTTACAAGTAGCTCGATGTCCAACTGTCTGACAGTCGGCATTTTCACCACAAAATCCTGGATGACAAATATCAAGACAAAGTTTATTTACACAGGAGTTATCAAACGGACACTCGTCAGTGCTCTCACAGCCCACAGGTACAGGACCAGGGGTGGGTGATGGTGGCGGCTCTGTTACAGGAGGTGGTCTGGGTCTGGGTGTTGGGTGTTCTGCCACTGGGGGCTGACCTGGACTAGTTGGTGCACTAATTGGATGCACTGGATCTCCTGGTTGAGCTGGCGGAAATTCTGCCGTGGGAGGCGTCGGTCCAACTGGTCTTTCTGTGACGATGGATACACATGAATGTAAAGGATCTCCTGTGGTTCCTGGAGGACAGGTACAAACTGGACGATGATTCGCGATTCGGCAGTCAGCATCATCTCCACATATACCAAGACCGCATACATCATAGCATAGGTTGTTGAGACAGGAATTGTCCGAGGTGCAGTCGTCATTGTTCTCACAAGCAATAACAATAGGAGGAACAACAGCAAGAGGTGGTGGTCTTGGACTGGTGGGCACTGGAGGTGCCGTTGTTGGCAATTCTACCAGAGGTGGTGGGGTAGGAGTGGTAGTTCCTGATGCAGGAACAACTGGATCACCCGGTGGTAAACTTGAGATACCCGCTACAGGCCTGTGGGTAATAGGTCTCTCGGTAGCTAAAGCCGTGCACCTCTCTGTTGGGTTACCTGTCGTGCCTGGTGGACATACACAAGTGGGTCGGTGTCCTAAGGTCTTACAGTCAGCAGCCTCACCACAAATACCAGGATGACACACGTCCAGGCACAGTCTGTTGATGCAGCTGTTGTCGAAGGGACACTCACCAGTGCTCTCACAACCTATGGGGTTTGGTGGTGGTGTTGGTACTGCAGGAGGCAGTGCAATTGGAGCTTCTGTAGGTCGAGGAACTGGAAGTTGAGCTACTGGTGATGGCGGTGTTGAAGTAGGTCCAGGAACTGGCCGGATAGGTGTGTGACTATCAGGTGGATGTTCAGCTATGGGAGGTACTGTAACAACGAGAGGTCTTTCTGTTGCTATGGCTATGCACCCTACTTGAGGATCTCCTGTTGTCCCTGGTGGGCACAGACACACTGGCCTGTGACTGATAGTCGTACAATCAGCTTCATCACCACAAACCCCAAGACTGCATGCATCATAACACAGCTTGTTCAAACATGAATTGTCCACATCACATTCATCGTTGTTCTCACAAGCGATAGGTACTAGAGGAACAATCACGGGTGGAGGAGGTCGCTCTATTGGTGGGTCTGGAGGAGGACGTGTTGGTTGCTCCACCAGAGGAGGAGATCCTGGACTTGTAGGTCCAGCGATGGGATGGATGACAGTCTCTTCTGAAGGAGGCTTATCCCCAGCAACCGGAGGAATTGGTGCAGGAGGTGTCTCTACAGCAAGAGCTGAGCACTTGATATTAGGGTTGCCAGTTGTTCCTGGTGGACATTTACAAGTAGCTCGATGTCCAACTGTCTGACAGTCGGCATTTTCACCACAAAATCCTGGATGACAAATATCAAGACAAAGTTTATTTACACAGGAGTTATCAAACGGACACTCGTCAGTGCTCTCACAGCCCACAGGTACAGGACCAGGGGTGGGTGATGGTGGCGGCTCTGTTACAGGAGGTGGTCTGGGTCTGGGTGTTGGGTGTTCTGCCACTGGGGGCTGACCTGGACTAGTTGGTGCACTAATTGGATGCACTGGATCATCTGGTTGAGCTGGTGGAAATTCTGCCGTGGGAGGCGTCGGTCCAACTGGTCTTTCAGTGACGATGGATACACATGAATGTAAAGGATCTCCTGTGGTTCCTGGAGGACAGGTACAAACTGGACGATGATTTGCGATTCGGCAGTCAGCATCATCTCCACATATACCAAGACCGCATACATCGTAACATAGGTTGTTGAGGCAGGAATTGTCCGAGGTGCAGTCGTCATTGTTCTCACAAGCAATAACAATAGGAGGAACAACAGCAAGAGGTGGTGGTCTTGGACTGGTGGGCACTGGAGGTGCGGTTGATGGCAATTCTACCAGAGGTGGTGGGGTAGGAGTGGTAGTTCCTGATGCAGGAACAACTGGATCACCCGGTGGTAAACTTGAGATACCCGCTACAGGCCTGTGGGTAATAGGTCTCTCGGTAGCTAAAGCCGTGCACCTCTCTGTTGGGTTACCTGTCGTGCCTGGTGGACATACACAAGTGGGTCGGTGTCCTAAGGTCTTACAGTCAGCAGCCTCACCACAAATACCAGGATGACACACGTCCAGGCACAGTCTGTTGATGCAGCTGTTGTCGAAGGGACACTCACCAGTGCTCTCACAACCTATGGGGTTTGGTGGTGGTGTTGGTACTGCAGGAGGCAGTGCAATTGGAGCTTCTGTAGGTCGAGGAACTGGAAGTTGAGCCACTGGTGATGGCGGTGTTGAAGTAGGTCCAGGAACTGGCCGGATAGGTGTGTGACTATCAGGTGGATGTTCAGCTATGGGAGGTACGGTAACAACGAGAGGTCTTTCTGTTGCTATGGCTATGCACCCTACTTGAGGATCTCCTGTTGTCCCTGGTGGGCACAGACACACTGGCCTGTGACTGATAGTCGTACAATCAGCTTCATCGCCACAAACCCCAAGACTGCATGCATCATAACACAGCTTGTTCAAACATGAATTGTCCACATCACATTCATCGTTGTTCTCACAAGCGATAGGTACTTGAGGAACAATCACGGGTGGAGGAGGTCGGTCTATTGGTGGGTCTGGAGGAGGACGTGTTGGTTGCTCCACCAGAGGAGGAGATCCTGGACTTGTAGGACCAGCGATGGGATGGATGACAGTCTCTTCTGAAGGAGGCTTATCCCCAGCAACCGGAGGAATTGGTGCAGGAGGTGTCTCTACAGCAAGAGCTGAGCACTTGATATTAGGGTTGCCAGTTGTTCCTGGTGGACATTTACAAGTAGCTCGATGTCCAATTGTCTGACAGTCGGCATTTTCACCGCATAATCCTGGATGACAAATATCAAGACAAAGTTTATTTACACAAGAATTATCAAACGGACACTCGTCAGTGCTCTCACAGCCCACAGGCACAGGACCAGGGGTGGGTGGTGGTGGCGGCTCTGTTACAGGAGGTGGTCTGGGTCTGGGTGTTGGGTGTTCTGCCACTGGGGGCTGACCTGGACTAGTTGGTGCACTAATTGGATGTACTGGATCTCCTGGTTGAGCTGGTGGAAATTCTGCCATGGGAGGCGTCGGTCCAACTGGTCTTTCTGTGACGATGGATACACATGAATGTAAAGGATCTCCTGTGGTTCCTGGAGGACAGGTACAAACTGGACGATGATTCGCGATTCGGCAGTCAGCATCATCTCCACATATACCAAGACCGCATACATCATAGCATAGGTTGTTGAGACAGGAATTGTCCGAGGTGCAGTCGTCATTGTTCTCACAAGCAATAACAATAGGAGGAACAACAGCAAGAGGTGGTGGTCTTGGACTGGTGGGCACTGGAGGTGCCGTTGTTGGCAATTCTACCAGAGGTGGTGGGGTAGGAGTGGTAGTTCCTGATGCAGGAACAACTGGATCACCCGGTGGTAAACTTGAGATACCCGCTACAGGCCTGTGGGTAATAGGTCTCTCGGTAGCTAAAGCCGTGCACCTCTCTGTTGGGTTACCTGTCGTGCCTGGTGGACATACACAAGTGGGTCGGTGTCCTAAGGTCTTACAGTCAGCAGCCTCACCACAAATACCAGGATGACACACGTCCAGGCACAGTCTGTTGATGCAGCTGTTGTCGAAGGGACACTCACCAGTGCTCTCACAACCTATGGGGTTTGGTGGTGGTGTTGGTACTGCAGGAGGCAGTGCAATTGGAGCTTCTGTAGGTCGAGGAACTGGAAGTTGAGCTACTGGTGATGGCGGTGTTGAAGTAGGTCCAGGAACTGGCCGGATAGGTGTGTGACTATCGGGTGGATGTTCAGCTATGGGAGGTACTGTAACAACGAGAGGTCTTTCTGTTGCTATAGCTATGCACCCTACTTGAGGATCTCCTGTTGTCCCTGGTGGGCACAGACACACTGGCCTGTGACTGATAGTCGTACAATCAGCTTCATCACCACAAACCCCAAGACTGCATGCATCATAACACAGCTTGTTCAAACATGAATTGTCCACATCACATTCATCGTTGTTCTCACAGGCGATAGGTACTAGAGGAACAATCACGGGTGGAGGAGGTCGCTCTATTGGTGGGTCTGGAGGAGGACGTGTTGGTTGCTCCACCAGAGGAGGAGGTCCTGGACTTGTAGGACCAGCGATGGGATGGATGATAGTCTCCTCTGAGGGAGGCATATCCCCAGCAACCGGAGGAATGGGTGCAGGAGGTGTGTCTACAGCAAGAGCTGAGCACTTGATATTAGGGTTGCCAGTTGTTCCTGGTGGACATTTACAAGTAGGTCGATGTCCAATTGTCTGACAGTCGGCATTTTCACCACAAAATCCTGGATAACAAATATCAAGACAAAGTTTATTTACACAAGAATTATCAAACGGACACTCGTCAGTGCTCTCACAGCCCACAGGTACAGGACCAGGGGTGGGTGGTGGTGGCGGCTCTGTTACAGGAGGTGGTCTTGGTCTGGGTGTTGGGTGTTCTGCCACTGGGGGCTGACCTGGACTAGTTGGTGCACTAATTGGATGCACTGGATCAACTGGTTGAGCTGGTGGAAATTCTGCCATGGGAGGCGTCGGTCCAACTGGTCTTTCTGTGACGATGGATACACATGAATGTAAAGGATCTCCTGTGGTTCCTGGAGGACAGGTACAAACTGGACGATGATTCGCGATTCGGCAGTCAGCATCATCTCCACATATACCAAGACCGCATACATCATAACATAGGTTGTTGAGACAGGAATTGTCCGAGGTGCAGTCGTCATTGTTCTCACAAGCAATAACAATAGGAGGAACAACAGCAAGAGGTGGTGGTCTTGGACTGGTGGGCACTGGGGGTGCCGTTGTTGGCAATTCTACCAGAGGTGGTGGGGTAGGAGTGGTAGCTCCTGATGCAGGAACAACTGGATCACCCGGTGGTAAACTTGAGATACCCGCTACAGGCCTGTGGGTAATAGGTCTCTCGGTAGCTAAAGCCGTGCACCCCTCTCTGTTGGGTTACCTGTAGTGCCTGGAGGGACATACACAGAGTGGGTGGTGTCTCTCAGAATGCCTTACAGTCAACAGCCTCTGGCCAGGATGACACACGTCCAGGCACAGTGGTGGGTACAGCTGTTGTCAGAGGACACTCACACACACCTGCAGTGCTCTCACAGCCTATGGGGTTTTGGTGGTGGTGTTGGTACCTGGGAAGCAATTGGAGCTTCTGTGGGTCAGAGGCTGGAGAAGTTGAGCTACTGGTGATGGCGGTGTTGGTGGGTCCAGGAACTGGCCGGATGGGTGTGTGACTATCGGGTGGATCGTGTTCAGCTATAGGAGGTACTGCTTAACAACGAGAGGTCTTTCTGTTGCTATAGCTATGCACCTAGCAGGATCTCCTGGCTGTGACCTGAGTGGCACAGACACTGGCCTGTGACTGATAGTCGTACAATCAGCTTCATCACCACAAACCCCAAGACTGCATGCATCATAACACAGCTTGTTCAAACATGAATTGTCCACATCACATTCATCGTTGTTCTCACAAGCGATAGGTACTTGAGGAACAATCACGGGTGGAGGAGGTCGCTCTATTGGTGGGTCTGGAGGAGGACGTGTTGGTTGCTCCACCAGAGGAGGAGGTCCTGGACTTGTAGGACCAGCGATGGGATGGATGACAGTCTCTTCTGAAGGAGGCTTATCCCCAGCAACCGGAGGAATGGGTGCGGGAGGTGTCTCTACAGCAAGAGCTGAGCACTTGATATTAGGGTTGCCAGTTGTTCCTGGTGGACATTTACAGGTAGCTCGATGTCCAATTGTCTGACAGTCGGCATTTTCACCACAAAATCCTGGATAACAAATATCAAGACAAAGTTTATTTACACAAGAATTATCAAACGGACACTCGTCAGTGCTCTCACAGCCCACAGGTACAGGACCAGGGGTGGGTGGTGGCGGCGGCTCTGTTACAGGAGGTGGTCTTGGTCTGGGTGTTGGGTCTTCTGCCACTGGGGGCTGACCTGGACTAGTTGGTGCACTAATTGGATGCACTGGATCACCTGGTTGAGCTGGGGGAAATTCTGCCATGGGAGGCGTCGGTCCAACTGGTCTTTCTGTGACGATGGATACACATGAATGTAAAGGATCTCCTGTGGTTCCTGGAGGACAGGTACAAACTGGACGATGATTCGCGATTCGGCAGTCTGCATCATCTCCACATATACCAAGACCGCATACATCATAACATAGGTTGTTGAGACAGGAATTGTCCGAGGTGCAGTCGTCATTGTTCTCACAAGCAATAACAATAGGAGGAACAACAGCAAGAGGTGGTGGTCTTGGACTGGTGGGCACTGGAGGTGCCGTTGTTGGCAATTCTACCAGAGGTGGTGGGGTAGGAGTGGTAGTTCCTGATGCAGGAACAACTGGATCACCCGGTGGTAAACTTGAGATACCCGCTACAGGCCTGTGGGTAATAGGTCTCTCGGTAGCTAAAGCCGTGCACCTCTCTGTTGGGTTACCTGTCGTGCCTGGTGGACATACGCAAGTGGGTCGGTGTCCTAAGGTCTTACAGTCAGCAGCCTCACCACAAATACCAGGATGACACACGTCCAGGCACAGTCTGTTGATGCAGCTGTTGTCGAAGGGACACTCACCAGTGCTCTCACAACCTATGGGGTTTGGTGGTGGTGTTGGTACTGCAGGAGGCAGTGCAATTGGAGCTTCTGTAGGTCGAGGAACTGGAAGTTGAGCTACTGGTGATGGCGGTGTTGAAGTAGGTCCAGGAACTGGCCGGATAGGTGTGTGACTATCAGGTGGATGTTCAGCTATGGGAGGTACTGTAACAACGAGAGGTCTTTCTGTTGCTATAGCTATGCACCCTACTTGAGGATCTCCTGTTGTCCCTGGTGGGCACAGACACACTGGCCTGTGACTGATAGTCTTACAATCAGCTTCATCACCACAAACCCCAAGACTGCATGCATCATAACACAGCTTGTTCAAACATGAATTGTCCACATCACATTCATCGTTGTTCTCACAAGCGATAGGTACTAGAGGAACAATCACGGGTGGAGGAGGTCGCTCTATTGGTGGGTCTGGAGGAGGACGTGTTGGTTGCTCCACCAGAGGAGGAGGTCCTGGACTTGTAGGACCAGGAATGGGCTGGATGACAGTCTCTTCTGAAGGAGGCTTATCCCCAGCAACCGGAGGAATGGGTGCAGGAGGTGTCTCTACAGCAAGAGCTGAGCACTTGATATTAGGGTTGCCACTTGTTCCTGGTGGACATTTACAAGTAGGTCGATGTCCAATTGTCTGACAGTCGGCATTTTCACCACAAAATCCTGGATAACAAATATCAAGACAAAGTTTATTTACACAGGAGTTATCAAACGGACACTCGTCAGTGCTCTCACAGCCCACAGGTACAGGACCAGGGGTGGGTGGTGGTGGCGGCTCTGTTACAGGAGGTGGTCTTGGTCTGGGTGTTGGGTGTTCTGCCACTGGGGGCTGACCTGGACTAGTTGGTGCACTAATTGGATGCACTGGATCAACTGGTTGAGCTGGTGGAAATTCTGCCATGGGAGGCGTCGGTCCAACTGGTCTTTCTGTGACGATGGATACACATGAATGTAAAGGATCTCCTGTGGTTCCTGGAGGACAGGTACAAACTGGACGATGATTCGCGATTCGGCAGTCAGCATCATCTCCACATATACCAAGACCGCATACATCATAACATAGGTTGTTGAGACAGGAATTGTCCGAGGTGCAGTCGTCATTGTTCTCACAAGCAATAACAATAGGAGGAACAACAGCAAGAGGTGGTGGTCTTGGACTGGTGGGCACTGGGGGTGCCGTTGTTGGCAATTCTACCAGAGGTGGTGGGGTAGGAGTGGTAGCTCCTGATGCAGGAACAACTGGATCACCCGGTGGTAAACTTGAGATACCCGCTACAGGCCTGTGGGTAATAGGTCTCTCGGTAGCTAAAGCCGTGCACCTCTCTGTTGGGTTACCTGTCGTGCCTGGTGGACATACACAAGTGGGTCGGTGTCCTAAGGTCTTACAGTCAGCAGCCTCACCACAAATACCAGGATGACACACGTCCAGGCACAGTCTGTTGATGCAGCTGTTGTCGAAGGGACACTCACCAGTGCTCTCACAACCTATGGGGTTTGGTGGTGGTGTTGGTACTGCAGGAGGCAGTGCAATTGGAGCTTCTGTAGGTCGAGGAGCTGGAAGTTGAGCTACTGGTGATGGCGGTGTTGAAGTAGGTCAGGAACTGGCCGGATAGGTGTGTGACTATCGGGTGGATGTTCAGCTATGGGAGGTACTGTAACAACGAGAGGTCTTTCTGTTGCTATAGCTATGCACCCTACTTGAGGATCTCCTGTTGTCCCTGGTGGGCACAGACACACTGGCCTGTGACTGATAGTCGTACAATCAGCTTCATCACCACAAACCCCAAGACTGCATGCATCATAACACAGCTTGTTCAAACATGAATTGTCCACATCACATTCATCGTTGTTCTCACAAGCGATAGGTACTTGAGGAACAATCACGGGTGGAGGAGGTCGCTCTATTGGTGGGTCTGGAGGAGGACGTGTTGGTTGCTCCACCAGAGGAGGAGGTCCTGGACTTGTAGGACCAGCGATGGGATGGATGACAGTCTCTTCTGAAGGAGGCTTATCCCCAGCAACCGGAGGAATGGGTGCGGGAGGTGTCTCTACAGCAAGAGCTGAGCACTTGATATTAGGGTTGCCAGTTGTTCCTGGTGGACATTTACAGGTAGCTCGATGTCCAATTGTCTGACAGTCGGCATTTTCACCACAAAATCCTGGATAACAAATATCAAGACAAAGTTTATTTACACAAGAATTATCAAACGGACACTCGTCAGTGCTCTCACAGCCCACAGGTACAGGACCAGGGGTGGGTGGTGGCGGCGGCTCTGTTACAGGAGGTGGTCTTGGTCTGGGTGTTGGGTCTTCTGCCACTGGGGGCTGACCTGGACTAGTTGGTGCACTAATTGGATGCACTGGATCACCTGGTTGAGCTGGGGGAAATTCTGCCATGGGAGGCGTCGGTCCAACTGGTCTTTCTGTGACGATGGATACACATGAATGTAAAGGATCTCCTGTGGTTCCTGGAGGACAGGTACAAACTGGACGATGATTCGCGATTCGGCAGTCTGCATCATCTCCACATATACCAAGACCGCATACATCATAACATAGGTTGTTGAGACAGGAATTGTCCGAGGTGCAGTCGTCATTGTTCTCACAAGCAATAACAATAGGAGGAACAACAGCAAGAGGTGGTGGTCTTGGACTGGTGGGCACTGGAGGTGCCGTTGTTGGCAATTCTACCAGAGGTGGTGGGGTAGGAGTGGTAGTTCCTGATGCAGGAACAACTGGATCACCCGGTGGTAAACTTGAGATACCCGCTACAGGCCTGTGGGTAATAGGTCTCTCGGTAGCTAAAGCCGTGCACCTCTCTGTTGGGTTACCTGTCGTGCCTGGTGGACATACGCAAGTGGGTCGGTGTCCTAAGGTCTTACAGTCAGCAGCCTCACCACAAATACCAGGATGACACACGTCCAGGCACAGTCTGTTGATGCAGCTGTTGTCGAAGGGACACTCACCAGTGCTCTCACAACCTATGGGGTTTGGTGGTGGTGTTGGTACTGCAGGAGGCAGTGCAATTGGAGCTTCTGTAGGTCGAGGAACTGGAAGTTGAGCTACTGGTGATGGCGGTGTTGAAGTAGGTCCAGGAACTGGCCGGATAGGTATGTGACTATCAGGTGGATGTTCAGCTATGGGAGGTACTGTAACAACGAGAGGTCTTTCTGTTGCTTTGGCTAAGCACCCTACTTGAGGATCTCCTGTTGTCCCTGGTGGGCACAGACACACTGGCCTGTGACTGATAGTTGTACAATCAGCTTCATCACCACAAACCCCAAGACTGCATGCATCATAACACAGCTTGTTCAAACATGAATTGTCCATATCACATTCATCGTTGTTCTCACAAGCGATAGGGACTAGAGGTACAATCTCGGGTGGAGGAGGTCGCTCTATTGGTGGGTCTGGAGGAGGACGTGTTGGTTGCTCCACTAGAGGAGGAGGTCCTGGACTTGTAGGACCAGCGATGGGATGGATGACAGTCTCTTCTGAAGGAGGCTTATCCCCAGCAACCGGAGGAATTGGTGCAGGAGGTGTCTCTACAGCAAGAGCTGAGCACTTGATATTAGGGTTGCCACTTGTTCCTGGTGGACATTTACAAGTCGGTCGATGTCCAACTGTCTGACAGTCGGCATTATCACCACAAAATCCTGGATGACAAATATCAAGACAAAGTTTATTTACACAGGAGTTATCAGATGGACACTCGTGATTGCTCTCACAGCCCACAGGTAGAGGACCAGGGGTGGGTGGTGGTGGCGGCTCTGTTACAGGAGGTGGTCTGGGTCTGGGTGTTGGGTGTTCTGCCACTGGGGGCTGACCTGGACTAGTTGGTGCACTAATTGGATGAACTGGATCACCTGGTTGAGCTGGTGGAAATTCTGCCATGGGAGGCGTCGGTCCAACTGGTCTTTCAGTGACGATGGATACACATGAATGTAAAGGATCTCCTGTGGTTCCTGGAGGACAGGTACAAACTGGACGATGACTGGTGATCTTGCATTCTGCGTTATCTCCACACACACCAAGACCGCATACATCGTAACATAGGTTGTTGAGGCAGGAATTGTCCGAGGCGCAGTCGTCATTGTTCTCACAAGCAATAACAATAGGAGGAACAACTGGAAGAGGTGGTGGTCTTGGACTGGTGGGCACTGGAGGGGCCGTTGTTGGCAATTCTACCAGAGGTGGTGGGGTAGGAGTGGTAGTTCCTGATGCAGGAACAACTGGATCACCCGGTGGTAAACTTGAGATACCCGCTACAGGCCTGTGGGTAATAGGTCTCTCGGTAGCTAAAGCCGTGCACCTCTCTGTTGGGTTACCTGTCGTGCCTGGTGGACATACACAAGTGGGTCGGTGTCCTAAGGTCTTACAGTCAGCAGCCTCACCACAAAAACCAGGATGACACACGTCCAGGCACAGTCTGTTGATGCAGCTGTTGTCGAAGGGACACTCACCAGTGCTCTCACAACCTATGGGGTTTGGTGGTGGTGTTGGTACTGCAGGAGGCAGTGCAATTGGAGCTTCTGTAGGTCGAGGAACTGGAAGTTGAGCTACTGGTGATGGCGGTGTTGAAGTAGGTCCAGGAACTGGCCGGATAGGTGTGTGACTATCGGGTGGATGTTCAGCTATGGGAGGTACTGTAACAACGAGAGGTCTTTCTGTTGCTATAGCTATGCACCCTACTTGAGGATCTCCTGTTGTCCCTGGTGGGCACAGACACACTGGCCTGTGACTGATAGTCGTACAATCAGCTTCATCACCACAAACCCCAAGACTGCATGCATCATAACACAGCTTGTTCAAACATGAATTGTCCACATCACATTCATCGTTGTTCTCACAAGCGATAGGTACTAGAGGAACAATCACGGGTGGAGGAGGTCGCTCTATTGGTGGGTCTGGAGGAGGACGTGTTGGTTGCTCCACCAGAGGAGGAGGTCCTGGACTTGTAGGACCAGCGATGGGATGGATGACAGTCTCTTCTGAGGGAGGCTTATCTCCAGCAACCGGAGGAATGGGTGCAGGAGGTGTCTCTACAGCAAGAGCTGAGCACTTGATATTAGGGTTGCCAGTTGTTCCTGGTGGACATTTACAAGTAGCTCGATGTCCAACTGTCTGACAGTCGGCATTTTCACCACAAAATCCTGGATAACAAATATCAAGACAAAGTTTATTTACACAAGAATTATCAAACGGACACTCGTCAGTGCTCTCACAGCCCACAGGTACAGGACCAGGGGTGGGTGGTGGTGGCGGCTCTGTTACAGGAGGTGGTCTGGGTCTGGGTGTTGGGTGTTCTGCCACTGGGGGCTGACCTGGACTAGTTGGTGCACTAATTGGATGTATTGGTTCTTTTGGTTGTACTGGCGGAAATTCTGCCATGGGAGGCGTCGGTCCAACTGGTCTTTCTGTGACGATGGATACACATGAATGTAAAGGATCTCCTGTGGTTCCTGGAGGACAGGTACAAACTGGACGATGATTCGCGATTCGGCAGTCTGCATCATCTCCACATATACCAAGAGCGCATACATCATAACATAGGTTGTTAACACAGGAATTGTCTGTGGTGCAGTCGTCATTGTTCCCACAAGCGATGGCAATGGAGGGAATAATAGGAGGTGGTATCGTTGTTGTTATAAGTGACGGAGGTCTCGTTGTAGGCATTTCAACCAGTGGAGGAGGTGTAGTTATGGTAGGTCCTGGCACGGGTTCAGGTGGTTGATACTGTGGTGTATGTGGTTGTCCTGCTATTGGTGAACTAGTAACAGGTCTATCAGTTGCTAACGAATGGCAACGTTCGGTGGGATTACCTGTAGTTCCCGGCGGACATACACACAGTGGTCGGTGGCCTATAGTTTGACATTCAGCATTCACACCACATAGTTTAGGACTACAAATGTCCATGCAGAGACGATTGATGCAGGTGGTGTCGAAGTTGCACTGATCGTTCTTCTCGCACCCGACTATGATTGGTGGGATGGAAACTGGTGTTGGTGGACGAGATGGAGCGGGCAGTGGAGGTCTAGGTTGGGACGTTTCTGCTATTGGTGGGGGTCGTGAAGTTGTATCTGAAATTGGACGAATTGATTCAAGAGGTGTGAGCGGCACCTCGGTAATGGGAGACACTGTTGTTGAACTTGCAAAAAGTAAAGCTGTGCATTTGATCTGAGGATTTCCAGTTGTACCAGGAGGACAAAGACACACAGGTCTATGACTAACAGTTCTGCAATCAGCATTTTCACCACATATCCCAATATTGCATGCATCATAGCAGAGCATATTAAGGCAAGTGTTATCAAAATCACAATCATCATTATTTTCACATGCTATAGAAATGAAAGGAATTAGAGGAGAAGGTGGAGGGCTAGACACCGGGGGGTCTGGAGGAGGACGTGTTGGTTGCTCCACCAGAGGAGGAGGTCCTGGACTTGTAGGACCAGCGATGGGATGGATGACAGTCTCTTCTGAGGGAGGCTTATCCCCAGCAACCGGAGGAATGGGTGCAGGAGGTGTGTCTACAGCAAGAGCTGAGCACTTGATATTAGGGTTGCCAGTTGTTCCTGGTGGACATTTACAAGTAGGTCGATGTCCAACTGTCTGACAGTCGGCATTTTCACCGCATAATCCTGGATGACAAATATCAAGACAAAGTTTATTTACACAAGAATTATCAAACGGACACTCGTCAGTGCTCTCACAGCCCACAGGTACAGGACCAGGGGTGGGTGGTGGCAGCGGCTCTGTTACAGGAGGTGGTCTGGGTCTGGGTGTTGGGTGTTCTGCCACTGGGGGCTGACCTGGACTAGTTGACTCGGTAACAGGGCGAATTGGGTCACCGGGATAGGCTGGAGGAAATTCGGCAATGGGAGGGTGTGGGGTCACTGGTCTTTCTGTAAGCAGGGACACACACTGCTGAGGAGGAGTGCCCGATGTACCTGGTGGACAGCTACAGACTGGACGATGATTATCGACTTTACACTTGGCATTTTCTCCACAAACACCGAGGCTACACACGTCATAACAGAGATTGTTGATACAAGAGTTGTCCACTGTGCATTCATCATTATTCTGACACGCAATTGCAATATCAGGAATAATCGGAAGGGGCAGAGGTGGTGGCTGCATAGCCTCAGTGGGTCTGCTGGTGGGCATCTCTGCCAGAGGAGGAAGTGGTGTAATGGTGGGACCAACAATGGGAATGATAGTAAGAACATCTGGTGATTTTGGTATCTCTGTCAGAGGAGGAACCGTGGCAGGTCTGTCAGTCATATGAGCAGAGCAATGTCTTGTAGGGTTGCCCGTGGTTCCTGGAGGACATGTACAAGAAGGTCTGTGGCCGAAAGTCTGACAATTGGCGTTTTCTCCACATAAACCTGGATAACACACATCCAGGCAGTAACGATTTACACACGTGTTATCAAAAGGACAGTGATCATTACTTTCACACCCGACTATAATAGACGAAGGAGTGGGTACTGGGGGTCTAGGGGTGGTGAGAGGTTCTAGAGGTTCAACGCTGACTTGTTCCGCTAATGGAGGGGGTCTTTCTGAAGAAGGACCGGTTATGGGACGAATAGGAATATGTGGTTGTTGTGGGGGTCGGTGTGTCACAGGGGGCAGAGTAGTTATCCTCTCTGTGGACGTAGCTTTGCAACCAACCTGCGGGTCTCCAGTTGTACCCGGCGGACAAAGACATACAGGTCTATGCTTGACTGAAACACATTGAGCATCATCACCACAGGATTTAAGGCTGCATACATCATAACACAACAAGTTAATACATGAATTGTCCACATCACATTCATCGTTGTTCTCACAAGCGATAGGTACTAGAGGAACAATCACGGGTGGAGGAGGTCGCTCTATTGGTGGGTCTGGAGGAGGACGTGTTGGTTGCTCCACCAGAGGAGGAGGTCCTGGACTTGTAGGACCAGCGATGGGATGGATGACAGTCTCTTCTGAAGGAGGCTTATCCCCAGCAACCGGAGGAATGGGTGCAGGAGGTGTCTCTACAGCAAGAGCTGAGCACTTTACAGTCGGGTTGCCAGTTGTACCAGGAGGACATTTACAAAATGGACGATGTTCGCTTGTAACACAGTCGGCATTTTCACCACAAAATCCTGGATGACAAATATCAAGACAAAATTTATTTACACAGGAGTTATCAAACGGACACTCGTCAGTGCTCTCACAGCCCACAGGTACAGGACCAGGGGTGGGTGGTGGTGGCGGCTCTGTTACAGGAGGTGGTCTTGGTCTGGGTGTTGGGTGTTCTGCCACTGGGGGCTGACCTGGACTAGTTGGTGCACTAATTGGATGCACTGGATCACCTGGTTGAGCTGGCGGAAATTCTGCCATGGGAGGCGTCGGTCCAACTGGTCTTTCAGTGACGATGGATACACATGAATGTAAAGGATCTCCTGTGGTTCCTGGAGGACAGGTACAAACTGGACGATGACTGGTGATCTTGCATTCTGCGTTATCTCCACACACACCAAGACCGCATACATCGTAACATAGGTTGTTGAGGCAGGAATTGTCCGAGGCGCAGTCGTCATTGTTCTCACAAGCAATAACAATAGGAGGAACAACTGGAAGAGGTGGTGGTCTTGGACTGGTGGGCACTGGAGGTGCCGTTGTTGGCAATTCCACTAGAGGTGGTGGGGTAGGAGTGGCAGTTCCTGATGCAGGAACAACTGGATCACCTGGTGGTAAACTTGAGATACCCGCTACAGGCCTGTGGGTAATAGGTCTCTCGGTAGCTAAAGCCGTGCACCTCTCTGTTGGGTTACCTGTCGTGCCTGGTGGACATACACAAGTGGGTCGGTGTCCTAAGGTCTTACAGTCAGCAGCTTCACCACAAAAACCAGGATGACACACGTCCAGGCACAGTCTGTTGATGCAGCTGTTGTCGAAGGGACACTCACCAGTGCTTTCACAACCTATGGGGTTTGGTGGTGGTGTTGGTACTGCAGGAGGCAGTGCAATTGGAGCTTCTGTAGGTCGAGGAACTGGAAGTTGAGCTACTGGTGATGGCGGTGTTGAAGTAGGTCCAGGAACTGGCCGGATAGCTGTGTGACTATCGGGTGGATGTTCAGCTATGGGAGGCATTGTAACAACGAGAGGTCTTTCTGTTGCTATGGCTATGCACCGTACTTGAGGATCTCCTGTTGTCCCTGGTGGGCACAGACACACTGGCCTGTGACTGATAGTCTTACAATCAGCTTCATCATCACAAACCCCAAGACTGCATGCATCATAACACAGATTGTTCAAACATGAATTGTCCACATCACATTCATCGTTGTTCTCACAAGCGATAGGTACTAGAGGAACAATCACGGGTGGAGGAGGTCGCTCTATTGGTGGGTCTGGAGGAGGACGTGTTGGTTGCTCCACCAGAGGAGGAGGTCCTGGACTTGTAGGACCAGCGATGGGATGGATGATAGTCTCTTCTGAAGGAGGCTTATCCCCAGCAACCGGAGGAATTGGTGCAGGAGGTGTCTCTACAGCAAGAGCTGAGCACTTGATATTAGGGTTGCCACTTGTTCCTGGTGGACATTTACAAGTCGGTCGATGTCCAACTGTCTGACAGTCGGCATTATCACCACAAAATCCTGGATGACAAATATCAAGACAAAATTTATTTACGCAAGAATTATCAAACGGACACTCGTCAGTGCTTTCACAGCCCACAGGTACAGGACCAGGGGTGGGTGGTCGCGGTGGCTGTGTCACAGAAGGTGGTTTTGGTCTGGGTGTTGGGTGTTCTGCCACTGGGGGCTGACCTGGACTAGTTGGTGCACTAATTGGGTGCACTGGATCACCTGGTTGAGCTGGCGGAAATTCTGCCGTGGGAGGCGTCGGTCCTACTGGTCTTTCAGTGACGATGGATACACATGAATGTAAAGGATCTCCTGTGGTTCCTGGAGGACAGGTACAAACTGGACGATGACTGGTGATCTTGCATTCTGCGTTATCTCCACACACACCAAGACCGCATACATCGTAACATAGGTTGTTGAGGCAGGAATTGTCCGAGGCGCAGTCGTCATTGTTCTCACAAGCAATAACAATAGGAGGAACAACTGGAAGAGGTGGTGGTCTTGGACTGGTGGGCATTGGAGGTGCCGTTGTTGGCAATTCTACCAGAGGTGGTGGGGTAGGAGTGGTAGTTCCTGATGCAGGAACAACTGGATCACCCGGTGGTAAACTTGAGATACCCGCTACAGGCCTGTGGGTAATAGGTCTCTCGGTAGCTAAAGCCGTGCACCTCTCTGTTGGGTTACCTGTCGTGCCTGGTGGACATACACAAGTGGGTCGGTGTCCTAAGGTCTTACAGTCAGCAGCTTCACCACAAAAACCAGGATGACACACGTCCAGGCACAGTCTGTTGATGCAGCTGTTGTCGAAGGGACACTCACCAGTGCTCTCACAACCTATGGGGTTTGGTGGTGGTGTTGGTACTGCAGGAGGCAGTGCAATTGGAGCTTCTGTAGGTCGAGGAACTGGAAGTTGAGCCACTGGTGATGGCGGTGTTGAAGTAGGTCCAGGAACTGGCCGGATAGGTGTGTGACTATCAGGTGGATGTTCAGCTATGGGAGGTACTGTAACAACGAGAGGTCTTTCTGTTGCTATGGCTATGCACCGTACTTGAGGATCTCCTGTTGTCCCTGGTGGGCACAGACACACTGGCCTGTGACTGATAGTCTTACAATCAGCTTCATCATCACAAACCCCAAGACTGCATGCATCATAACACAGATTGTTCAAACATGAATTGTCCACATCACATTCATCGTTGTTCTCACAAGCGATAGGTACTAGAGGAACAATCACGGGTGGAGGAGGTCGCTCTATTGGTGGGTCTGGAGGAGGACGTGTTGGTTGCTCCACCAGAGGAGGAGGTCCTGGACTTGTAGGACCAGCGATGGGATGGATGACAGTCTCTTCTGAAGGAGGCTTATCCCCAGCAACCGGAGGAATTGGTGCAGGAGGTGTCTCTACAGCAAGAGCTGAGCACTTGATATTAGGGTTGCCACTTGTTCCTGGTGGACATTTACAAGTAGGTCGATGTCCAACTGTCTGACAGTCGGCATTATCACCACAAAATCCTGGATAACAAATATCAAGACAAAATTTATTTACGCAAGAATTATCAAACGGACACTCGTCAGTGCTCTCACAGCCCACAGGTACAGGACCAGGGGTGGGTGGTCGTGGTGGCTGTGTCACAGAAGGTGGTTTTGGTCTGGGTGTTGGGTGTTCTGCCACTGGGGGCTGACCTGGACTAGTTGGTGCACTAATTGGATGCACTGGATCACCTGGTTGAGCTGGCGGAAATTCTGCCGTGGGAGGCGTCGGTCCAACTGGTCTTTCAGTGACGATGGATACACATGAATGTAAAGGATCTCCTGTGGTTCCTGGAGGACAGGTACAAACTGGACGATGACTGGTGATCTTGCATTCTGCGTTATCTCCACACACACCAAGACCGCATACATCGTAACATAGGTTGTTGAGGCAGGAATTGTCCGAGGCGCAGTCGTCATTGTTCTCACAAGCAATAACAATAGGAGGAACAACTGGAAGAGGTGGTGGTCTTGGACTGGTGGGCACTGGAGGTGCCGTTGTTGGCAATTCTACCAGAGGTGGTGGGGTAGGAGTGGTAGTTCCTGATGCAGGAACAACTGGATCACCCGGTGGTAAACTTGAGATACCCGCTACAGGCCTGTGGGTAATAGGTCTCTCGGTAGCTAAAGCCGTGCACCTCTCTGTTGGGTTACCTGTCGTGCCTGGTGGACATACACAAGTGGGTCGGTGTCCTAAGGTCTTACAGTCAGCAGCTTCACCACAAAAACCAGGATGACACACGTCCAGGCACAGTCTGTTGATGCAGCTGTTGTCGAAGGGACACTCACCAGTGCTCTCACAACCTATGGGGTTTGGTGGTGGTGTTGGTACTGCAGGAGGCAGTGCAATTGGAGCTTCTGTAGGTCGAGGAACTGGAAGTTGAGCTACTGGTGATGGCGGTGTTGAAGTAGGTCCAGGAACTGGCCGGATAGGTGTGTGACTATCAGGTGGATGTTCAGCTATGGGAGGTACTGTAACAACGAGAGGTCTTTCTGTTGCTATGGCTATGCACCGTACTTGAGGATCTCCTGTTGTCCCTGGTGGGCACAGACACACTGGCCTGTGACTGATAGTCTTACAATCAGCTTCATCATCACAAACCCCAAGACTGCATGCATCATAACACAGATTGTTCAAACATGAATTGTCCACATCACATTCATCGTTGTTCTCACAAGCGATAGGTACTAGAGGAACAATCACGGGTGGAGGAGGTCGCTCTATTGGTGGGTCTGGAGGAGGACGTGTTGGTTGCTCCACCAGAGGAGGAGGTCCTGGACTTGTAGGACCAGCGATGGGATGGATGACAGTCTCTTCTGAAGGAGGCTTATCCCCAGCAACCGGAGGAATTGGTGCAGGAGGTGTCTCTACAGCAAGAGCTGAGCACTTGATATTAGGGTTGCCACTTGTTCCTGGTGGACATTTACAAGTAGGTCGATGTCCAACTGTCTGACAGTCGGCATTATCACCACAAAATCCTGGATAACAAATATCAAGACAAAATTTATTTACGCAAGAATTATCAAACGGACACTCGTCAGTGCTCTCACAGCCCACAGGTACAGGACCAGGGGTGGGTGGTCGTGGTGGCTGTGTCACAGAAGGTGGTTTTGGTCTGGGTGTTGGGTGTTCTGCCACTGGGGGCTGACCTGGACTAGTTGGTGCACTAATTGGATGCACTGGATCACCTGGTTGAGCTGGCGGAAATTCTGCCGTGGGAGGCGTCGGTCCAACTGGTCTTTCAGTGACGATGGATACACATGAATGTAAAGGATCTCCTGTGGTTCCTGGAGGACAGGTACAAACTGGACGATGACTGGTGATCTTGCATTCTGCGTTATCTCCACACACACCAAGACCGCATACATCGTAACATAGGTTGTTGAGGCAGGAATTGTCCGAGGCGCAGTCGTCATTGTTCTCACAAGCAATAACAATAGGAGGAACAACTGGAAGAGGTGGTGGTCTTGGACTGGTGGGCACTGGAGGGGCCGTTGTTGGCAATTCTACCAGAGGTGGTGGGGTAGGAGTGGTAGTTCCTGATGCAGGAACAACTGGATCACCCGGTGGTAAACTTGAGATACCCGCTACAGGCCTGTGGGTAATAGGTCTCTCGGTAGCTAAAGCCGTGCACCTCTCTGTTGGGTTACCTGTCGTGCTTGGTGGACATACACAAGTGGGTCGGTGTCCTAAGGTCTTACAGTCAGCAGCTTCACCACAAAAACCAGGATGACACACGTCCAGGCACAGTCTGTTGATGCAGCTGTTGTCGAAGGGACACTCATCAGTGCTCTCACAACCTATGGGGTTTGGTGGTGGTGTTGGTACTGCAGGAGGCAGTGCAATTGGAGCTTCTGTAGGTCGAGGAACTGGAAGTTGAGCCACTGGTGATGGCGGTGTTGAAGTAGGTCCAGGAACTGGCCGGATAGGTGTGTGACTATCAGGTGGATGTTCAGCTATGGGAGGTACTGTAACAACGAGAGGTCTTTCTGTTGCTATAGCTATGCACCCTACTTGAGGATCTCCTGTTGTCCCTGGTGGGCACAGACACACTGGCCTGTGACTGATAGTCTTACAATCAGCTTCATCACCACAAACCCCAAGACTGCATGCATCATAACACAGCTTGTTCAAACATGAATTGTCCACATCACATTCATCGTTGTTCTCACAAGCGATAGGTACTAGAGGAACAATCACGGGTGGAGTTGGTCGCTCTATTGGTGGGTCTGGAGGAGGACGTGTTGGTTGCTCCACCAGAGGAGGAGGTCCTGGACTTGTAGGACCAGCGATGGGATGGATGACAGTCTCTTCTGAAGGAGGCTTATCCCCAGCAACCGGAGGAATTGGTGCAGGAGGTGTCTCTACAGCAAGAGCTGAGCACTTGATATTAGGGTTGCCACTTGTTCCTGGTGGACATTTACAAGTAGGTCGATGTCCAACTGTCTGACAGTCGGCATTATCACCACAAAATCCTGGATGACAAATATCAAGACAAAATTTATTTACGCAAGAATTATCAAACGGACACTCGTCAGTGCTCTCACAGCCCACAGGTACAGGACCAGGGGTGGGTGGTCGTGGTGGCTGTGTCACAGAAGGTGGTTTTGGTCTGGGTGTTGGGTGTTCTGCCACTGGGGGCTGACCTGGACTAGTTGGTGCACTAATTGGATGCACTGGATCACCTGGTTGAGCTGGCGGAAATTCTGCCATGGGAGGCGTCGGTCCAACTGGTCTTTCAGTGACGATGGATACACATGAATGTAAAGGATCTCCTGTGGTTCCTGGAGGACAGGTACAAACTGGACGATGACTGGTGATCTTGCATTCTGCGTTATCTCCACACACACCAAGACCGCATACATCGTAACATAGGTTGTTGAGGCAGGAATTGTCCGAGGCGCAGTCGTCATTGTTCTCACAAGCAATAACAATAGGAGGAACAACTGGAAGAGGTGGTGGTCTTGGACTGGTGGGCACTGGAGGTGCCGTTGTTGGCAATTCTACCAGAGGTGGTGGGGTAGGAGTGGTAGTTCCTGATGCAGGAACAACTGGATCACCCGGTGGTAAACTTGAGATACCCGCTACAGGCCTGTGGGTAATAGGTCTCTCGGTAGCTAAAGCCGTGCACCTCTCTGTTGGGTTACCTGTCGTGCCTGGTGGACATACACAAGTGGGTCGGTGTCCTAAGGTCTTACAGTCAGCAGCCTCACCACAAAAACCAGGATGACACACGTCCAGGCACAGTCTGTTGATGCAGCTGTTGTCGAAGGGACACTCACCAGTGCTCTCACAACCTATGGGGTTTGGTGGTGGTGTTGGTACTGCAGGAGGCAGTGCAATTGGAGCTTCTGTAGGTCGAGGAACTGGAAGTTGAGCTACTGGTGATGGCGGTGTTGAAGTAGGTCCAGGAACTGGCCGGATAGGTGTGTGACTATCAGGTGGATGTTCAGCTATGGGAGGTACTGTAACAACGAGAGGTCTTTCTGTTGCTATAGCTATGCACCCTACTTGAGGATCTCCTGTTGTCCCTGGTGGGCACAGACACACTGGCCTGTGACTGATAGTCTTACAATCAGCTTCATCACCACAAACCCCAAGACTGCATGCATCATAACACAGCTTGTTCAAACATGAATTGTCCACATCACATTCATCGTTGTTCTCACAAGCGATAGGTACTAGAGGAACAATCACGGGTGGAGGAGGTCGCTCTATTGGTGGGTCTGGAGGAGGACGTGTTGGTTGCTCCACCAGAGGAGGAGGTCCTGGACTTGTAGGACCAGGAATGGGCTGGATGACAGTCTCTTCTGAAGGAGGCTTATCCCCAGCAACCGGAGGAATGGGTGCAGGAGGTGTCTCTACAGCAAGAGCTGAGCACTTGATATTAGGGTTGCCACTTGTTCCTGGTGGACATTTACAAGTAGGTCGATGTCCAATTGTCTGACAGTCGGCATTTTCACCACAAAATCCTGGATAACAAATATCAAGACAAAGTTTATTTACACAGGAGTTATCAAACGGACACTCGTCAGTGCTCTCACAGCCCACAGGTAGAGGACCAGGGGTGGGTGGTGGCGGCGACTCTGTTACAGGAGGTGGTCTGGGTCTGGGTGTTGGGTGTTCTGCCACTGGGGGCTGACCTGGACTAGTTGGTGCACTAATTGGATGAACTGGATCTCCTGGTTGAGCTGGCGAAAATTCTGCCATAGGAGGCGTCGGTCCAACTGGTCTTTCTGTGACGATGGATACACATGAATGTAAAGGATCTCCTGTGGTTCCTGGAGGACAGGTACAAACTGGACGATGACTGGTGATCTTGCATTCTGCGTTATCTCCACACACACCAAGACCGCATACATCGTAACATAGGTTGTTGAGACAGGAATTGTCCGAGGCGCAGTCGTCATTGTTCTCACAAGCAATAACAATAGGAGGAACAACTGGAAGAGGTGGTGGTCTTGGACTGGTGGGCACTGGAGGGGCCGTTGTTGGCAATTCCACCAGAGGTGGTGGGGTAGGAGTGGTAGTTCCTGATGCAGGAACAACTGGATCACCCGGTGGTAAACTTGAGATACCCGCTACAGGCCTGTGGGTAATAGGTCTCTCGGTAGCTAAAGCCGTGCACCTCTCTGTTGGGTTACCTGTCGTGCCTGGTGGACATACACAAGTGGGTCGGTGTCCTAAGGTCTTACAGTCAGCAGCTTCACCACAAAAACCAGGATGACACACGTCCAGGCACAGTCTGTTGATGCAGCTGTTGTCGAAGGGACACTCACCAGTGCTCTCACAACCTATGGGGTTTGGTGGTGGTGTTGGTACTGCAGGAGGTAGTGCAATTGGAGCTTCTGTAGGTCGAGGAACTGGAAGTTGAGCTACTGGTGATGGCGGTGTTGAAGTAGGTCCAGGAACTGGCCGGATAGGTGTGTGACTATCAGGTGGATGTTCAGCTATGGGAGGTACTGTAACAACGAGAGGTCTTTCTGTTGCTATGGCTATGCACCGTACTTGAGGATCTCCTGTTGTCCCTGGTGGGCACAGACACACTGGCCTGTGACTGATAGTCTTACAATCAGCTTCATCACCACAAACCCCAAGACTGCATGCATCATAACAAAGCTTGTTCAAACATGAATTGTCCACATCACATTCATCGTTGTTCTCACAAGCGATAGGTACTTGAGGAACAATCACGGGTGGAGGAGGTCGCTCTATTGGTGGGTCTGGAGGAGGACGTGTTGGTTGCTCCACCAGTGGAGGAGGTCCTGGACTTGTAGGACCGGGAATGGGATGGATGATAGTTTCTTCTGAAGGAGGCTTATCCCCAGCAACCGGAGGAATTGGTGCAGGAGGTGTCTCTACAGCAAGAGCTGAGCACTTGATATTAGGGTTGCCACTTGTTCCTGGTGGACATTTACAAGTAGGTCGATGTCCAACTGTCTGACAGTCGGCATTTTCACCACAAAATCCTGGATGACAAATATCAAGACAAAGTTTATTTACACAAGAATTATCAAACGGACACTCGTCAGTGCTCTCACAGCCCACAGGTACAGGACCAGGGGTGGGTGGTTGTGGCGGCTGTGTCACAGAAGGTGGTCTGGGTCTGGGTGTTGGGTGTTCTGCCATTGGGGGCAAACCTGGACTTGTTGTTGCTGAAACAGGATGTATATGTCCAAAGTCTTTAGGTTCCAGTGTTCCTACTATTGGTGGTGTCATAGTTGGTCTCTCTGTTACCAATGCTATACATTTTCCCGTGGGATCTCCAGTGGTCCCTGGTGGACAAGTACACACTGGACGATGTTTTGCGACTTTACAGTTGGCATTTTCTCCGCAGATGCCTAAAGAACAAACATCAAAGCACAGTTTGTTATAGCACGTATTATCCACGGTGCAATCATCATTATTTTCACATGCAATTACAATAGGAGAAACGATGGGAGGAATATGTATTTGCGGCATTTCCTGTGGGGGACGACTAGTGGGTGGTTCTACAACTAATGGAGGGGGCATCGTATGCAAGGGGCCAGGAAGAGGCCGGATTGGAGGTGAAGGGCTTGTGGGTTGTTTTCCAGCAACTGGTGGAAGTTGTGTTGGGACTTCCTCTGTTAGTAAGGCAGTGCATTTTATAGTTGGGTTTCCAGAGGTTCCTGGAGGGCATGAGCAAGTTGGTCGATTGGCAAAGGTTTGACAGTGTGCGTTGTCGGCACATAGCGAAGGACTACACACGTCACCACAGAGACGGTTGATGCAGGTGTTATCGAATGGGCAGTCGTCATTGCTTTCGCATCCGACGGTTATGGGTAATGTTGTGTGGTGGACAGTTGTGGGTTGTGTATAAGTCTTTTCTGGTGCTCTGGTAGTGGTAGGGGCAGCCACAGGCGAGGGTGTGGTATGTCTTGTGCCCTCCTGTGGACGGATGAGCACGTCTGGTACAGAAGGTTGGGTGTCCGCGAGAGGGCGAAGCGTGGTGGGTGGAGCTTTCGTTGCTACAGCTATGCACTTGACATATGGATCGCCGACAGTCCCTGGAGGGCAAGAGCACTCGGGGAAGTTATGGTGGATATGACAGTCTGCGTTGCTGCCACAATAGCCTCGACTGCAAACATCTACACACAGTTTATTTACACAAGTGGTGCTGAAGTGGCAATCGGCTGTACTCTCACAACCAATGGTGATTGGAGGTGGAAGAGGTAGGAATGGTGGTGGCGGCCTGGGAGTAAGAGGCCTTTCGCGTTGGGGAGTGGGAAATTCGGCTATTGGTCCCTTTGTTGTGGTGGTCATGGAAATAGGCCGAGGCAGGGTAGTAGACGGTAGAGGGGGTCTCTCCACGATAGGAGGGAGACGTTCACAGTCATAGCCAGAGCCTGTGAAGCCCAGAAAGCAGGAACACACGGGGAAGTGCTTGAGGGTCTCACATTGGGCAAGGGGTGAACATGGATTAAATACGATGCAGGGATTGACACATTTGCGCTGGGCACAAGCCTTGTTGTCAGGACAGTCCCGATCTGTGAGACACTGGGGTGGAGGAGTGGCTGGTAACGGCTCCTTGCACTCGATGAATGGGTTGCCCACAAATCCTGGCTGACAGTAACACACAGGCTGGTGGTTTTCGCCACGACATAAGGCATTGCGACTACGGCACGGGTTAGTCACACTGCACACTGGCACACAGTCAAAGTTGTTACACATCTCGTCTACGTCACATTCAAAGTCTCGAGTACACTGAAGGTCAACTGCGTGGCTCGGGGGCCGAGTGGCCACCCCTGGTCTGACAGTTGTATGAGTGGGATATTCAGCAATAGGTGAGGGAATGGTAGAGGTGGTGGGCAGCTCACAATAATATCCGTTGCCAATATAACCCTGAATGCACCTACATTGTGGAAGATGAGAGACAACGGTGCACTCGGCCAGGTGGGAACACGGATTGGCCACCTGGCACGGACTAACGCACCGACGTTCAGCACAGGCTTTTTCCTGTGGACACTCGACGTCTGCCAAGCAGTCAGGCCTGGGAGTGGTGGTGGTCGGGTTGCAGCGTGTTTGTGGATTACCCTGGAACCCTGGGGGACACTTGCAGACTGGCCGGTGCTGGATGACGGTACACTCGGCCCCGGTAGCACAAGGGTGCTCACCCCTGCATGGGTCGATGCATCGCTCGTTGATGCAGGTCCGCGATGGGGAGCAGTGTGAGTTAGACTTACACTCAGTGGGTGGGAGTGGGGGAGAGGATGGGACAGTTGGAGGATGGAAGGGTCGGGAGGTTGGGGTCGAGGGGGTGACTACAAGCAGGGGAGAAGGAGGAATGATCGGGGAACACCCTCGCTCGGGGTTGCCCGTGTAACCTGGGAGACAATAGCATATAGGAACATTGTTAATAACTCGACATTCAGTGTTAAAGCCGCATGCATTCAGGGAGCATTGGACGAGCTTCGTCGGTGCTGAAAAACAGTTATGGATCATGCAATTAGCACATGCACTAGGTAGGTACACTTTAAAGTTTGTACATTATGATACATGCTCCTTATTCGAAACTTTCTCGATGCAAAAAAATATCATGAAACTTGAAAACATAGAGCAAAAAACATGCTAGCGCCAGGCAAGATATGCCATGCAAAATGACATGCTCAATCATATGGCATTTCATGCTAAAAGAATTTCATGCTTCTGATGGAAATATAATAAACACGGCTTTATGGCTTTCGTGCAGAGAAAAAACATCTTTATATGACAGACATATACAGTACATATAAGAAAACAATAACCAGGCCCAAAGCAGTTCAGGGAGGGTACTTACCACGCACGCACTCGACCTTTGGATTGCCATCATATCTGCGAGGACAGGTGCAAATAGCCTGGTGGTTGACGGCATCACAGACAGCGTTCAGACCGCAGGTGCCAGGTTGGCAGGGGTCGCGGCACTTCTGGTTGACACACGCCAGGTACTTGGGGCAGTCTGAGTTGATGGTACACTCGACTCGACACTCCAAGTAGGGGTTGCCGAAGTAGTTCGGGAAACAAGTACACACAGCTTGCCCATTCTCCTTCACAGCACAGTTGGTGTTGGAGCCGCACGGTGAGGGGTTGCACGGGTCGACAGGGCTCTCTTCAAAGACCACATAACGTTAAGAACCAGAACTACTGGACCCAGACTCACCTAGATTCAGTTTGTTTTGTCTCCAAACTGGTGTTTAGTGGAAGTGCTTATTTCAGTATATTTTCGGTGCCAAATTGGACGTTCTATTTGTGGTTCACCTTTAGTTGGGTGAGTGTTTACGTGTCCAGTTGTAAGAGAATCTTAATCAATGAACCTTTGAGAATCTGGGTCCTAGGTTGTCAGGTCATCCCATTACTGGTATGACCTGTCTATACTAAATTACAATACATATCAAATTACATAAATAAATGGATAACTATAAATGACAATTTTGGAATTGAAGATTAAATTTTCTCATTTTAATGAGATGTTTGTTGACGTGTCAGTAATCGGTGTAAACAGCTCCGTGAACAAGACAGCTAAGTGACTCACTCACTCACCGAGATAACTTTCTGACCCTAGCCGTCAATGTTTAGTCCGTCGTGTTTTGCTTTAGTACGCGCTTGCTTAACTTAACAATACCAAGTGTTGTATTCAATAAGGATACCCAAGATCTGCTTTATATAAGAACATGTGTGGAGTATTTCTACCAGTTGTCGTGGTACCTTTCTCTCACCTTTGTATACTGATCCTATGCTACTACCTGTATCTGTACACCGTATCAATGTAAGCCAAGACAATAACTCTGGTAGGTAGATTAAGAAACAACAAAAACAAACGTAACGGAGGTGACCAAAATAGAGAGGACTCACCTTTCTTAATTTCACAAGCCACAAGAGGGTCTCCCGTGAGGCCCTCGGCACAGGTGCACAGAGGGTTGTGACCAAAGACGTTACAATCGGCCCCACTCCCACACACGCCCACGCACGGGTCGACGCACTTCTGGTTGACACACGCCTGGCTCACAAGGCAGTCCGAGTTAATGGTGCATTCGGGTTTACAGCCCACGTCAGGGTTGCCAACGTACCCAGGGACGCAGGAGCAGACGGCCCTATCCACCATCACCCGGCAGTTGGTGTATGATCCACACGGTGTAGGGTTACACGGGTCAAGGGGGGTGCGAACTGTAACACCATTAACAACATCATTACTACTATAAGCAACAATAATAGTAACAATAATATGAGTAATAATAATTATTCAAGTCAATAATATTAAAACAAATAATACAAGTAATCTATATCTTTTAATGCCTTGTGTCTCGTTACCTCCGTCAGGGACACATCACATACCGAGTCCTCAATTAATATTTCAGCCATCTAAAAGTGTTGACATGCATGAAAAACACCTGAGAAAAATGGAAGAATTGTACCTGCTTACTATGAGAAACATGTTGACTAGGATTAAGCATTAAGTTTGTCTTAGCTGTTGTATGACTTATAAGCGAGACACTGTTCGTTCACAGCAGAGAAGGGTCGCCGTGATGCACAACTAAACGGTGAAGCACGGAAGAAGCACTTACTTGGCTCGCAGCGGACGAAGGGGTCACCTGTCATGGTCCTCTGGCAGGAACACACAGGGTTGTGGTTGACGATATCACAGATGGCATCAATGCCACAGGTGCCAGGACAAGGATCTTCGCAACGTTGGTTGACACAAGCTAGGTACTTAGGGCACTGGGAGTTGATGACGCATTCGGGACGGCAGTTGTTGTATGGGTTCCCAAAGTATCCAGGTTTACATGTACACACACCACGAGTTCCCTGGACACGACAGTCGGCGTTGGGGCCACAAATGCCCTCCCTGCAGGGGTCAACAAACTCCTTGGGAGGCACCACCGTCGACACAGCTGTAACACACATAATAAACATGTTAGGACATTGGCAGTAGGTATAGAAGAATGGCCCACACCTGTGTGTAACACCTATAAGGTATATCAGGGGCAAGGAGGAGGGGTCAGGTCTTACCAAGTGGGATACGGGTGCACCGAACGAAAGGTTCGCCTGTGAACCCTGGAACACAGGTGCACACCGGGGAGTGGTTGATGACGCGGCATTCTGCGTTGGTGCCACACACCCCGGGACAAGGATCAATGCACTTTTGTCTGTTACATGCCATCGTGGCCGGACAATCGCGGTTGACGACACAAATTGGGCGACAATTTGGCGGGGCACCAATGAAGCCCGGAAGACAGGTGCATACGGGGCGGTCTACCACCTCCCTGCAGTCGGCATTGGGGCCACACACCTCACACAGGTCCTCTAGCTCCTCGGACGAGCCCTCGTCTAGAAAGGGGAAGTGTGACACTTGCACAGGGTCATGCAGGAACAAATGTGTTTTATAGAAAGATGTAGATCAGTATTTAGTAAAGTTAGCGTGCACTATTGAGAACAATTATATAAGTCAAGAAACAAGGAGGCATAATAGATGTTGTCATACCCGGCCTAGGGAAGCATCTCTCGTAAGGACTGCCGGTGTAACCAGACGGACACGTGCAAATAGGGGTATGGTTGGGTACTCTGCACTCTGCATTGATGCCACAAGTGCCTGGACATGGGTCGATACACTTGTCATTAACACAAGCCAGGCCAGAGTCACATTGTGAGTCAGCTGAGCAGGAGGGTCGACAGGCAGTGTATGGGTCACCAAAGTACCCTGCGATACACTGGCACACGCCCTGGTGACACTCAGCCAAGGTGCCACATGGAGATGGATCGCAGGGGTCAGTGGTCAGGGGAGGCGCAGGTGGTGAAGTCTCAGCTGCTGGGACACACATACCCGCCGGTCACAACACAAGTACTCGTTACTGTATAAGCATTATTATAACATATATCATGCACTAGTAAAGGGAGACAGACATGAAGGAAAGCTTACATATAGTTGGTGAAGGACTGCAGGCTGTGTAGGCGTCTCCTGTGTACTCGAGGGGACACATGCACACAGGCTTATGCATGATCACGTGACACTCTGCCCTCACCCCACACAAACCCGTGCAGGGGTCAACGCACTCATTCCTCTCACACGCCTTGTTCCTCCCACAGTCAGAGTCCACCACGCACTCGAGGCG